TGTGTGCGTCTGTGTGACTCTGCGTGTGACTGTGTGTTTGGGTGACTGCGTACGACTCTGTGTGACTGCGTGTGTTTGTGTGACTGTGCATGACTGTGTGTGTGAGGCTGTGAGGCCCCCGTTCCAGATGGCACCTCCGACCCACTCCTCACACAGACACAAGCTGGGGGTCCATATTGTTCTATATTTGTGCTTCTGTATGTGTGAGTGTCTGTGGGTCTGTGTGACTGAGTGTGACTGTGTGTGTGTGTGACTGTGTGACTGCTTACAGCCCAGACATCTGGGGCCGGAACCGCACCCCCCTGTGCCCAGCAATCCTGCCTTTCAGCCGATGGCGGAGACCCCCAGCCAACCGGGACCCTCGGTGCTTCTTTGCCTATTATGAGACGAGCAGGGAGTCAAGGGGTTCAGCTGTGCCACCCTCGCCCGCCCGGGGCCCCTCTGCCGAGCTGGGCACACACCCTCCCCCGAGCGGTGCCGAGGGATATTTTTAGTCCCTGAGCAGATTATCAGTTTGGCTCCAGGTGGCTCGGCAGGGCTGGGAGCTGGGCCAGGATGCGGCTGGCCGGGGGAGGTGGCGGGGACAGAGCAGGCGACTGGCCTGAGCTTGGCAGCTCGCCCAGTGCCCCAGCACTGCCCCCCCCACCTGGCTGCCCTGATCGAACCCCGCCTGGACACATTAGCCAGACCTGCTCACCCAGGCGCAAACCAGACCTACTCCTTTCCAGAATGTTCTAGACCCTGGCTGGGCAGTCATACAGCAGGTAGGGCCCTGATTTTTTTTTTTTTAATTTTTATTAGTGAGACACAATGAGGTACAGTTGTAGACTGGCAAATTTTTGTGCCTGGGTTTCAGTCATACAATGATCGAGTACCCATCCCTCCACCAGTGTCCATTTTCCACCACCACGGGTCCCAATATTCCTCCCACCCCCATACTCCCCCCATCCCACCCTGCCTCTGTGGCAGGGCATTCCGTTTTGTTCTCTCTCTCTCCTTTTGGGTGCTGTGGTTTGCAAAAGAGGCATTGAGTGGCAATCATGTTAGGTCTATAGTTAACTTTCAGCATGCATCTCCCATCCTGGGAGGATCCTCCCAACACCCTTTACTTGGTGCTCCCTTCTCTATCTGAGCTGCCTTTTCCCCTAGCGTGTGTGGCTGGCCTCCAAGCCATGGAGTAAACCTCCTGGTACTTATTTCAGCTATTCTAGGGCCCTGATCTTAACCGCGTCTGTCAGAGGTTTGATCCCCAGCACCTCAGAGTGTTCCTTGAGCATAGCCAGGAGTCATCCCTGAGCACAGAGCCAGTAGGCAGCCCTGAGCACTGCTGAATGAGGCCAGAGAAAAACCCCACCTAGAATGTTCTAGATTCTCCCCCAGCTTCTCATGACTTTTTCCTTATTATCCCGGTCTCCTGGGCATCTCGTCACCTCCATGCAGATAGGCTGCCTTTCCCCATTTCTCCACAGTTAGATTTTTGGGATATTTTCTGGTTTTGTTCTGTGGATGATGTGATTGTCTTTGTTGGGGCCTCACCCGGCCATGCTCAGGGCTGGCTCCTGGCTCTGCACTCAGGGATCACTCCTGGTGGGAACTGGGTGACCATATGGGGATGCCGGGGATCGAACCCAGGTTGCCCTCCCCACTGTCCTGTCGCTCTGACCCCTCTTCGTTTTCGCACTCAGAGATCAAAACTGGGGTCTCTAGCAAGCTGGGCAGCTACCCTACTGCTCTGAGCTCTGCCCCGCCCCCGCGAAGTGGAGGTACTGGAGAAACCCTTCAAGGGGTCAAGGTCTTTGCCTTGCGTGCAGCTGACCCCGGGTTCAATCCCTGGCACCCCATAGTGTCCCCCGAGCACCACCAGGAGTGAGTCTTGAGTGCAGAGCCAGGAGGAACCCCTGAGCACCACCAGGTGTGGCCCCAGAACAGAGAAGAGACAGGAGCATTGCTCCTCTGGGGACTGCGCAGGTGGCCAGACCCCAAAAACACTGGGGTTCAAGGTTCAATGCTTTAGTTTGTTTTTTTGCTGAGATTTTTTTTTCTTCAGGGGGTGTCCCGGGGGCGTATCCAGGCACTTAACCACTGAGCACCATCCCAGCTTCTTGTTCCATTTGGCAGGTGGGGAAACTGAGGCCCAGCGTGGCCCAGCATTACCCAGAGTGGCCAGGTCTCTGGCCCTTCAGAGCCCAGGGACACAGTTGACAGAACTCTGGGCTCTCTGCTTAGGGATCCCCTGGCGGGTGCTCAGGAAACCATACGGGGTGCCGGGGATCCAACCTGGATGGGCCACGCGTGAGGCAGACGCCCTCCCCGTGGTGCTCTCACTCCGGTCACAGTTCCTTTGCACGCCCACACGCCTTTGGCTGTTCCGTCCCCGTTTCCCCGGCAGGGAAAAACAACTGCCATAAGCAAAGATGAAAGCCCAGATAAGGGCCTGTGTGCTGAGAGAGGCAGGTGCCCGCGGCTGGTTTGGAAACGGAGCCTGGAAACCAAGGCGGCAGGGTGGAGCAGAGCCGGGAGGTGAGGTGGCAAACGGATGTGAGTGGACAGTTCTGGATCTCACCATAAATCTTCCTGCCCTGCCCTGGATCTGGAAGGTTCTATCGGGAGGTGCTGAGACGATACCCCACACCCCTCAGATCCCGCAGTCCCACTCTCCTCTTCGGCCCCCCATGATCTCTGAGCACTGTCTCCCACACGTTCGCCTCACACCCCCAGTTCAGCCCTGCCCCAGACCCTGGGAGACCCAGAGATGCCTCCAGCCATCTCTGCTGCATCCACCCGACCTTTCTCAGCTTTTTTTTTGGGGGGGGGGGGGTCAACGTATCTGGCAGTCCTGAAGGATCACTTCTGCTGGGTTCAGGGCACCCGATGGGATGCTGGGGATCGAACCCCGGCCAGCCGCATGCCTCCTCACAGTGCTAGCTCTGCCCCTGACCTATCTCAGCTTAAGGGATCACCACGAATGTTACTTCCTGCCTTTCAAATCGATCCTGCCTCCTTGTTTCCCAGCCCACCCTCCACCACACTGGATTAGCTGATTCGGTGATGATCCCCCCTCTGTGCTTGGGGGGGCATGGGGCAGTGGGTTCCAGGGGTGCTGGAAGGACGGTTGTGTCCCCAGGATCCAGCCCAGGCTGTTGTATACAAGTTGATCGAAGAATGGGTTGTGGGAGAATGGAGAAGTAGATGGGTGGGTGGGTGGGGTGGATGGATGGATGGGTGGATGGATGGGTAGGTGGATGGATGAGTAGATGGATGGATGGATGGATGGGTAGGTGGATGGATGGATGGATGGATGGATGGATGGATGGATGGATGGATGGATGGGTAGGTGGATGGATGGATGGATGGATGGATGGATGGATGGATGGATGGATGGATGGATGGATAGATGGATGGATGGATGGATGGATGGGTGGATGGATGGGTGGGTGGGTGGATGGATGGGTAGATGGATGGGTGAATGAATAGATGGATGGATGGGTGGATGGATGGGTGGGTGGATAGATGGATGGATAGGTGGATGATGGATGGGTGGATGAATGGATGGGTGCAGCATATGAATGAATGGAATGAAGGGTGGCTGACTGATGGATGACAGAATGAAGAATTGGAGGATGGGGTGGTGGGGAGATGGGGGTTGGGAGAATGGACAGGCTGATGAATGGACAAATGGATAGATGGACAATAGACAGGTAGATTCAGGAGGCAGACAGGTGGGCAGGCATGTGGATGGATGAGTGGATGGACAGACAGGTAAACATTCCCAATGGGGACTGATGTGGGAGTCTGGGCATGTGGCTTGAGAGCTCGGGAAAGGAGGCCAGGGATGCTGTTCAGTGCACTTGCCTTACATGCATCTCACACACACACACACACTCACACACATGCACACACACACGTCTCAGAAGAGGGAAAGGGGGGCTGGAGCAATAGCACAGCGGGTGGGGCGTTTGCCTTGCACGCGGCCGACCCGGGTTCAGTTCCCAGCATCCCATAGGGTCCCCTGAGCACCACTGGGGTAATTCCTGAGTGCAGAGCCAGGAATAACCCCTGAGCATTGCTGGGTGTGACCCAAAAAGTAAATAAATAATAAATAAAAAGAAGAAAAGGGAAAAGGCTATTTGAGTTCTGGACAATAGGGACCCTCTCCTCTCCCTCATGTAGGTGGGCTGCTCCCCCTCCAGCTGCTGGTGGAAAACTCACTCTTTGGTTCACTGATGCATTTTCCAGCCAACTCAGAACAACCAGGGAAGGAATTGTGGGTGTCCTGAAACCCTTCATCTGCGAACTAGGACAGAAACAGCTTCTGTGCATTTTAACAACTTAAATGTTCAAGGAACCGGAGAGATCACACAGCGGGCAAGCCACTTGGCTCTGCACACAGCCAACCCAGCTCAATCCCCAGAACCCCGTATGGCCCCTGAGCACCACCAAGAGTGATTCCTGAGTGCAGAGCTAGGAGGAACCCCTGAACCTCACTGGATGTGGCCCAAAACCAAAAAAAAAAAAAAAAACCTTAAGTAACGGTGAACTGCAGAGTTAATACAGGGGTTAAGGGATTTGCCTTGTAGGCAGCCAACCCCAGCCCAATCCCTGTCACCCTAAGCACCTGTCACCCACCAGGAGAGATCCCGGAGCACAGACTCAGGAGTCAGCACTGAGCACTGCTGGGTGTAGCCCAAGAGCCAAAACCAGACTCCAGGGACTGGAGCAATAGCACAGCGGGTAGGGCGTTTGCCTTGCACGCGTCCGACCCGGATTCGATTCCCAGCATCCCATATGGCCCCCCGAGCACCGCCAGGAATAATTCCTGAGTGCATGAGCCAGGAGTAACCCCTGTGCATCGCTGGGTGTGATCCAAAAAGAAAAAAAAAAAAAACAGACTCCAACCCTTCCCTAATGCCTGAGCTGGGCAGTGGGGAAGGGGCTTCTCTTGCCGCACCCCGACCGACCTCCAAGCTGGGCTCCCCACTCACTTGTCCCTTTGTCCCCAGGATGTGGTCGAGCCTGAACAAGTGGTTCTGGCATGAGAAGCTCTGGCTTCCCCCCAACGTCACGTGGGCCGACCTGGAAGACCGCGATGGCAAGGTGTACCCTCACTCCCGGGACCTGCTGGCGGCCCTGCCCATGGCACTGGCCCTGCTGGCCCTGCGCTTCACCTTCGAGAGGTGAGTGTCCACGCTCCCGCCCTGCGTCTGCCAGCCTGCCAGCCGGCCGCCCTGCCTGTGTGTGCATGTGTATTTATGCATGTGCACGTGTGTTGTACACATGTATGTGTGCTATGCATGAGTGTACCTGTGTGTATTGTGTGCGTGTTTGCCCGCATGCACGTCTATGCGTGTGCATCGGTGCACAAGTGCACGTGTACGCATGTGCGTTGGTGCGCGCGGGCGCGTGTACGCGTGGGCGTCAGTGCGCGCGGGCGCGTGTATGCGTGTGTGTGCGTGACCTCATGGGTGGCACCTAGCTTTGAGCTAAAGTTCCTCTCCCCCTCCTGCTCGCTGCTGTCCCCCCTCCAACTTCTGAACCCCGAAAGCTGCTTTATCCAAACTGTGGCTGCAGCTTATGGTTGGGGGGGTGTCTGTATCTCAGAGCACAGCAGCTGGGGGGTCCCCCAGAGGCTAGAAGGTAATGGATCATGGAAGAGTCTGCAGAGACCAGCTCCAGAAAATTCCCTGCTGGTTCACCCCAGGACCATGGGCTGGACCCCCCACTGGCCCTGCCCACCCCTAGAAGCCAATGGATCATGGAAGAGCCTGCAGAGACCAGCTCCAGAAAATTCCCTGCTGGCTCATCCCAGGACCATGGGCTGGACCCCCACTGGCCCTGCCCACCCCTAGAAGCTAATGGATCATGGAAGAGCCTGCAGAGACCAGCTCCAGAAAATTCCCTGCTGGCTCATCCCAGGACCATGGGCCGGACCCCCCACTGGCCCTGCCCACCCCTAGAAGCTAATGGATCATGGAAGAGCCTGCAGAGACCAGCTCCAGAAAATTCCCTGCTGGTTCACCCCAGGACCATGGGCCGGACCCCCCACTGGCCCTGCCCACCCCTAGAAGCTAATGGATCATGGAAGAGCCTGCAGAGACCAGCTCCAGAAAATTCCCTGCTGGTTCACCCCAGGACCATGGGCTGGACCCCCACTGGCCCTGCCCACCCCTAGAAGCTAATGGATCATGGAAGAGCCTGCAGAGACCAGCTCCAGAAAATTCCCTGCTGGTTCACCCCAGGACCATGGGCTGGACCCCCCACTGGCCCTGCCCACCCCTAGAAGCTAATGGATCATGGAAGAGCCTGCAGAGACCAGCTCCAGAAAATTTCCTGCTGGCTCACCCCAGGACCATGGGCTGAACCCCCCACTGGCCCTGCCCACCCCTAGAAGCCAATGGATCATGGAAGAGCCTGCAGAGACCAGCTCCAGAAAATTCCCTGCTGGCTCACCCCAGGACCATGGGCTGAACCCCCCACTGGCCCTGCCCACCCCTAGAAGCCAATGGATCATGGAAGAGCCTGCAGAGACCAGCTCCAGAAAATTCCCTGCTGGTTCACCCCAGGACCATGGGCTGAACCCCCCACTGGCCCTGCCCACCCCTAGAAGCTAATGGATCATGGAAGAGCCTGCAGAGACCAGCTCCAGAAAATTCCCTGCTGGTTCACCCCAGGACCATGGGCTGGACCCCCCACTGGCCCTGCCCACCCCACATCCTACCCCGACTTTTCCTCCAGCATCCCGAACAACCTCCCCTACTCTTTCCTGGCCTCTGATCTCCCTGCCTCCGCCCTGCCACCCCGACTGTGCCCCCACTGCCCCTGTCCAGACCCCCCATCACCCCTGCCCTGCCCACCAGCACTTTTCCTGTGCCCCACCACCCTGGATCTTTCTAGCACATTTTCTCTTCTTTCCCCCCGTCCCCTGATCCGATACCACATGCTTTCGCTTCTGCAGGACCTCCTGGCAGACCGTCCTCCCTCCTTCTGTGACCCGGATGCAGTTCCAAACTGGCCTCCCTGGGCCAAAGTGATAGGACAGCGGGGAGGGTGCATGCCTTGCATGCAGTGACCCGGATTCAATCCCTGGCACCCCATAGGGTCCCCGGAGCCCTGTCAGAAGGGATCCCTAAGCACAGAGTCAGGATCAAGTCCTGAACATCGCCGGGTGTGGTGCCAACCCAACACTCAAAAAAATAATTAAATAAACAGACCCCCTCTTATGGTACCATCTCCACTGGCTCTGGAAATGGGGGTCCCTTGTGGGGTTGTTCTGAGCCTCACTTTCCCCAAATGGGTTCCTGGGACTTCTGGGTCCACCTCTGACTCTGGGGCGCCCCCTGGTGGACAATGCGGTGACTGACGCGGGTCCTGGTCCTTGGAGTCTGTGAATAGGGTGGGTGTGGGAAGGACCTCCAACTGGGTCCTGGACCCAGGCTCCCAGGAGACAGGCAGTGGAGGGACTCTAATCCCTGAGCTGGTGCTGGACGGGACCCCAAGAGTTGTGATCTTCCTAAGCCACGCCCCGATCCCAGTACCTGTCCAGTTTCTCTCCTGCTCACGTGACTGCATCCCCACCGGACCTTTCCAAGACGTCGCCTCCATCGCCCCGTGTGTAGTCCCCCCCTCTCACCTGCTTTGTCTCCCCTGAACCCCCAGATTCGCTGCTCTGCCCCTCAGCCGGTGGCTAGGGGTGAAGGATCAGGTGCGGCGGCCAGCAAAGCCCATCCCGGCTCTGGAGAGACACTTCCTCACTGCAGGCCCGAAACCCAAGGAGGTGCGAAACCCCCCCCCACGTCCGCTGTCCCCGGGGAGCAGCCCACCAGGAGCCCCACCGTGGGCTCTGCTGCCCAGGGTGCCTATCTGGGGGCACGTGTGGGGAGCTGGGAGGGAGGTGACCCTGAGACCCGCTCCTCCACCACTTTCTAGTCCACGTTGTGCTGCCCAGTAGGCAAAGTCCGGAACCCCCAGGTCAATTCCCAGCACTGGTTGGGAGGCCATGTGGGGCCGGGGTTGGACCCAGGACCCCTCTCCCACTCGAGCCACAGACCCCGGACCCCAGAGAATCCTCTGAGCTCCCCTTCTTTCTCATTCCTGCCGGCTGCAAAGCAGCACCATGGGGGCCAGAGTGATAGGACAGCAGGGAGGGCGCTTGCCTTGTATGTGGCTGACCCAGGTTTGATCCCCGGCATCCCCAGAGCCAGCCAGGAGTAATTCCTAAGCGCAGAGTAACCCCTGAGCACTGCTGGGTGTGGTCCTCCCCCCATACACCCCCCCCATCAAAAAGCAGGGCCAGTCCCTTCACTGCCTTCTAAAACCAGGGTGAGGGGCTGGAGCAATAGCACAGCGGGTAGGGCCTTTGCCTTGCACGCAGCCGACCCGGGTTCGATTCCCAGCATCCCATAGGGTCCCCTGAGCACCTCCAGGTGCAGAATCAGGAGTAACCCCTGTGCATTGCCAGGTGTGACCCAAAAAGCAAAAAATTTAAAAAAAAGAATAAGGCGGGGAGGGGCTGGAGCAGTAGGACAGCGGGTAGGGCATTTGCCTTGCACGCGGCCGACCTGGGTTCGATTCCCAGCATCCCATAGGGTCCCCTGAGCACCGCCAGGAGTCATTCCTGAGTGCATGAGACAGGAGTGACCCCTGTGCATTGCCAGGTGTGACCCAAAAAGCAAAAAATTTAAAAAAAAGAATAAGGCGGGGAGGGGCTGGAGCAGTAGGACAGCGGGTAGGGCATTTGCCTTGCACGCAGCCGACCCGGGTTCGATTCCCAGCATCCCATAGGGTCCCCCGAGCACCGCCAGGAGTAATTCCTGAGTGCATGAGACAGGAGTGACCCCTGTGCATTGCCAGGTGTGACCCAAAAAGTAGCACTGCACTGTCCTCCCGTTGTTCATCGATTTGCTCGAGCGGGCCCAGTAACGTCTCCATCATGAGACTTGTTGTTACTGTGTTTGGCATATCGAATACGTCACGGGGAGCTTGCCAGGCTTTGCCGTGCGGGTGAGATACTCTTGGTAGCTTGCCGGGCTCTCCGAGAGGGGCGGAGGAATCGAACTCGGCTCGGCCGGGCCGGCTGCGTGCAAGGCAAACGCCTTATCCGCTGTGCTATCGCTCCAGCCCCAAAAAATTAAAAAAATAAATAAATAAAAAAATAAAAATAGAATCAGGGTGAGACCTGACTGTCCTGGGGAGCCCCCCCGAACCTCCACTCTACCTTCCTATCCCATGAGTTAGGCAAGAGTTCCCATCCACACAAGTAGTTCTGGCCACCCCGCAGGCTGGATGCAGGGCCTGCTACCTGGGAGAGAAGGAACAAAGCCGGGCCAGGGGTGAGGGGGCGGGGATCAGAGCCACCCTATCACCCTGCTGCCCTTACCCCCACCCCGCACCCCCTCTTTCAGCCCCAGATGGCGCTCCTGGCCGCCCAGTGTGGCCTTACACTTCAGCAGACTCAGCGCTGGTTCCGGAGACGCCGCAACCAGGACCGGCCCAAACTGAGCAAGAAATTCTGTGAAGCCTGGTCAGAGCCCGGAGTGTCGGGGAGCTTGGGGGGCGGCGAGGGTTCTGCTTTGATTATTCCGGCCTCATTCGCTCCCTTCCCTCATTGTGCAGCTGGAGGTTTGCTTTTTACCTCTGTTCCTTCCTCGGTGGACTTATGGTCCTCTACCACGTGAGTGCTCCCACTTCCTGCCTCCTGGTCTCAGAAAGGGGGGGGGGGGGGCGCAGAAGGATCATGTTCGAAGACAGGGAGAGGACAAAGGGCAAGACGGAGGTGGGTAATAGTACAGCGGGGAGGGCGCTGGCTTTACATGCAGCTGAGCCGGGTTTGATTCCCAGCACTGGAGGGGATCGCCCCTAGCCCCATCAGGAGTGGTCTCTGAGCACAGAGCCAGCAGTCAGCCCTGAGCACCACCAGGTGTGGCCATCGCCACCCCCCAAAAAAATAACAATACTGGACAGAGGCTGGAGCGATAGCTCAGCGGGTAGGGTGTTTGCCTTGCACGCGGCTGACCCGGGTTTGAGTCCCAGCATCCCACAGGGTCCCCTGAGCACCGCCAGGGGTAATTCCTGAGTGCGTGAGCCAGGAGTGACCCCTGTGCATCGCCGGGTGTGACCCCCCCAAAAAAGATCAGAATAGGGGCTGGAGCAATAGCACAGCGGGTAGGGCGTTTGTCTTGACGCAGCCAACCCGGGTTCGATTCCCAGCATCCCATCTGGTCCCCTGAGCACCGCCAGGGGTAATTCCTGAGTGCAAAGCCAGGAGTAACCCCTGTGCATGGCCCGGGTTACTCCTGAAAACAAAATACAAGAGAGTGAGTGTCGCCTTGTGTAGGGGTGGGGCATCTGATGAGGGTCTCCTGCAGGCTGGGAACTGGCGATGCTGTAGCCGGAAGCTCCCCAAGATTAGCATGAGCCCTGAGGGTACCCAGACAGGAAACCATATAGGCTGTGAGGAAGCAGAACTTATAGAAATAGCCGGGTCCACGCTGGAGACGGAAGGTGGGGGGCTGGGCGTGACCACCAGGCAACCTCAGAATCCTGTGTTCTGTCCCCTCCAACCCCCACGGGCTTTCCTCAGGAGTCTTGGCTGTGGAGGCCTGTTATGTGCTGGGACAATTATCCAAACCAGGTAAACAGTAAGGGGGCTGGAGGCTGGAGGGAGGGGAGGGGGACCCCACGACAACCTGGGGACTTCTGCTAAATGTCGTTGCGCTCCGCGTCTTTCTCTGTTTGGGTTTTTCCTCGCCCGTGGAAAGGGGTCAGGAATCAAGAGACTGGGAGCAGGAGCCCTTGATTGCTTTCAGAGATGGGGGGTTCATGCCTTCACCTCTCATGGGGATGCCAGGGTGCTGAGCCCAACACACACACACACACACACACACCCCGAGGGCAGTGCCAGTCCCCAGAGCCCAGAGCTAACCTCGCCCATCCCACCACAGACCCTGAAGCCTACCCTGTACTACTGGTACCTCCTGGAGCTGAGTTTCTACATCTCGCTGCTCCTGACGTTGCCCTTTGACATCAAGCGCAAGGTAAGGCCAGGCAGAGGCAGGCTGGGATGGCGACCCTCCCCCCAGCCACCTGCGACCCCGACTCAGGCGGAGAAGCGTGACCTCGCCCTTGCACCCTGAGACACGGAGCTCACTGGGTCCTGAGAGCGCCCCGCCCGCCCGCCCGCCCGCCACGTCCCCGCCGTGACCCGCCATCTCCCGCAGGACTTCAAGGAGCAGGTGGCACACCACTTCGTGACCATCACCCTGATCGTCTTCTCCTACAGCTCGAACCTGCTGCGCATCGGCTCGCTGGTGCTGCTGCTGCACGACTGCTCCGACTACCTGCTGGAGGTGGGTCCTGAGACGAGGCCCCGCCCCTCAGCCCCCCATGCCACGAGGCCCCGCCCTCTCGGGCTAATTAGACGAGGCCCCGCCCCTCTCAGGGTAACTACGTGAGGCCCCGCCCTCTGTGGCTAATTTCGACGAGGCCCCGCCCCTCTCAGGGTAACTACGGGAGGCCCCGCCCCCTCGGGCTAATTTAGATGAGGCCCCGCCCCTCTCGGGTTAATTTAGATGAGGCCCCGCCCCTCTCAGGGTAACTATGTGAGGCCCCGCCCTCTCGGGCTAATTTCGACGAGGCCCCGCCCCTCTCAGGGTAACTACGTGAGGCCCCGCCCTCTCGGGCTAATTAGACGAGGCCCCGCCCCTCTCAGGGTAACTACGTGAGGCCCCGCCCTCTGTGGCTAATTTCGACGAGGCCCCGCCCCTCTCAGGGTAACTATGTGAGGCCCCGCCCTCTCGGGCTAATTTCGACGAGGCCCCGCCCTTCTCAGGGTAACTACGTGAGGCCCCGCCCTCTGTGGCTAATTTCGACGAGGCCCCGCCCCTCTCAGGGTAACTACGTGAGGCCCCGCCCTCTCTGGCTAATTTAGATGAGGCCCCGCCCTCTGTGGCTAATTTAGATGAGGCCCCGCCCCTCTCAGGGTAACTACGTGAGGCCCCGCCCTCTCGGGCTAATTTCGACGAGGCCCCGCCCCCTCAGGGTAACTACGTGAGGCCCCGCCCTCTCTGGCTAATTAGACGAGGCCCCGCCCCTCCCAGGGTAACTATGTGAGGCCCCGCCCTCTCTGGCTAATTTAGATAAGGCCCCGCCCTCTCGGGCTAATTTCGACGAGGCCCCGCCCCTCCCAGGGTAACTATGTGAGGCCCCGCCCTCTCGGGCTAATTTAGATAAGGCCCCGCCCTCTCTGACTAATTAGATGAGGCCCCGCCCCTCTCAGGGTAACTACGTGAGGCCCCGCCCTCTCTGGCTAATTTAGATGAGGCCCCGCCCTCTGTGGCTAATTTAGATGAGGCCCCGCCCCTCTCAGGGTAACTACGTGAGGCCCCGCCCTCTCGGGCTAATTTCGACGAGGCCCCGCCCCCTCAGGGTAACTACGTGAGGCCCCGCCCTCTCTGGCTAATTAGACGAGGCCCCGCCCCTCCCAGGGTAACTATGTGAGGCCCCGCCCTCTCTGGCTAATTTAGATAAGGCCCCGCCCTCTCGGGCTAATTTCGACGAGGCCCCGCCCCTCCCAGGGTAACTATGTGAGGCCCCGCCCTCTCGGGCTAATTTAGATAAGGCCCCGCCCTCTCTGACTAATTAGATGAGGCCCCGCCCCTCTCGGTAACTACGTGAGGCCCGGCCCTCTGGGGCTAATTAGACGAGGCCCCTCCCCTCTCAGGGTAACTACATGAGGCCCCGCCCTCTCTGGCTAATTAGATGAGGCCCCTCCCTCTCGAGCTGTTTAGTGAGGCCCCGCCCCTTCAGGCTAATTAGACTAGGCCCCGCCCATCCGACGCTACCTAGGCGATAAAGCCCCGCCTTCCTAGGACTAGGTAGATGAGGCCCTGCCCCTCTGGCCAACGCAGTGACAAAGCCCCGCCCCCTCCGGCTAAGCAGGTGGTGAGGCCCCGCCCCTTTCAGCTTTCCTTGAACGTAAGGTCACGCCTCCTCCACACCTCAATCTTCTTAAGTGGGTCCCCGCCCCCTCTTGCACATGCGCGCACACACTTCTTAACAATTCTAGGCAATCCTGAGATAAGCTCCTCTCCCCTGGTCCAGCCCCATGATGCATTTTCCTTCCGACGAGGCCCCTCCCCGCCCCCTCCCCTGCCCCCACCCTCAGAGTGCCCGTCTCTCCGCTGCCCTCCCCAGGCCGGTAAGATGTTCAACTACACGCAGTACCGGGTCGTGTGTGATGTTCTCTTCCTCCTCTTCGCCGCGGTCTTCTTCTACACGCGCCTGGTGCTCTTCCCCACCAAGTGAGTCCGTCCTCCCAGGCAGAGTCGGGGTTCGGGCAGGAGAGGGGGACGAGAGTCTGGGATCCGGTTCTGTCCCCTGCTATCTCAGGGTCGTCCCCGGACCCAGGGTAGGAGCTGGGAAGGTGCTCCTGGCGCCTTGAGAGACCTGAGTTGGCCTTACCCCAGCCAGGAGCGTGATCGGGGAGGCAGGGCTGGGCACTGGCCCCAGTTTAACCTGTGGAGCTTCTAAAAGCAGAGGGTGCCTGCATGGGGCTGGAGCAATAGCACAGCGGGGAGGGCGTTTGCCCTGCACGCGGCCGATCCGGGTTCGATTCCCAGCATCCCATAGGGTCCCCCGAGCACCGCCAGGAGTCATTCCTGAGTGCATGAGCCAGAAGGAACCCCTGTGCATCGCTGGGTTTGACCCAAAAAAGCAAAACAAAAAAAGCAAAAGCAGGGGCTGGAGCGATAGCACAGCGGGTAGGGCGTTTGCCCTGCACGCGACCGACCCGGGTTCAATTCCCAGCATCCCATAGGGTCCCCTGAGCACCGCCAGGAGTCATTCCTGAGTGCATGAGCCAGAAGTAACCCCTGTGCATCGCCGGGCTTGACCCAAAAAAGCAAAACAAAACAAAAAATCAAAAGCAGAGGGTGCAGCCCGGCCACGTGCTGTGTCTTGGTCCTGGCTGGCTAGAAAACAGGGGAGGTCCCTGCAATGCTTGGCTTCGCTCAGGGGGGGGGACATCAGGGAGCCCCGGAAGTCTGTGGAGCAGAGGAGACAGGCACCTGGCCAGGTGGGGGGCAGTTGGTGCATCTTGTCCCCGCCGGCTGCAGGATCCTCTACACCACCTACTACGAGTCCATCGTGGGCAGAGCACCCTTCTTCGGCTACTACTTCTTCAACGGGCTCCTGATGATGCTGCAGATGCTGCACGTCTTCTGGTTCTACCTCATTCTGCGCATGCTCTACGGTTTCACCTGCAAGGGACAGGTAGGCGGGGCCAGGGCCGGGGGCGGGGCTGGCCGCTGCTTCCCGGGGGGGTCCCTCCACGGGGGCTTCCACCCCCCCTGCCTCTTGCTCTGAGTTCTGTCCTCGGCCCTCCCTGTGCCCCAGATGGAGAAGGACGTTCGCAGCGATGCAGAGGAGACCGACTCGAGTGATGGAGAGGCAGTCAAGGAACATCCCCCGTTGCAGAACGGGGTGGTCCACAGGCCAGGGACGGCCACCTCTGCGGGTCCTCGGAGCCGGGCAGCGGCGCACCTGGCCAACGGACACACACCGTCCACGTAGCATAGCAGCCAAGCAAAGCCCGGCCGGAAGAGGGGTGTCACACCCCCCCCCCAAGCTGGCAGAATGGACTGGTGGCCCTTGGGCCCACTGAGGGGAGATGGGGAAGCCCCCACCGGGGTGCAAGGCGGGCTGATGACCTGTCTCCAACCCTGTCCTCCTCACTCCCACCTTCCCTCCTTCCTCGGGGTGAAATGGATGGAGGTGGGATGGGGAGGGTCCCCCCAGCTGGAAAGTGGGGGGAGATAAAACTTGAACAGAGTCAGATTCTCTGCCTGAGAACGTAAGTCCCTGTCCTTTTTTTCCCTCCCAGGGCTCTTTGGGTCACATCGCGATGCTGGGGGGCTTCAGGAATTACCCCTGATGGTGCCCAGGGGACCCTGTGAGATGCTGAGGATCGAACCCGGGTTGGCCGCGTGCAAGGCAAATGCTCTCCCCACTGTACTATCGCTCCAGCCTTTTTTCTTTTTTTTTTCTTGCTTTTTGGGTCACACCCCGTGATGCTCAGGGGTCACTCCTGGCTTTGCACTCAGGAATCACTCCCGGCGGGGCTCGGAGGACCATACGGGATCCTGGGAATCGAACCCGGATCCTGTGTCACACTCGGCGATGCCCAGGGGTTCCTCCTGGCTCATGCACTCAGGAATTACTCCTGGCGGTGCTCGGGGGACCCTATGGGATGCTGGGAATCGAACCTGAGTCGGCCGCGTTGCAAGGCAAACGCCCTACCCGCTGTGCTATCTCTCCAGCCCCAAGAATTTATTTTATTTATTTATTTATTTATTTTTGGCTTTTTGGGTCACACCTGGCGATACACAGGGGTAACTCCTGGCTCATGCACTCAGGAATCACTCCTGGCGGTGCTCAGGGGACCCTATGGGATGCTGGGAATCGAACCCGAGTCGGTCACGTTGCAAGGCAAACGCCCTACCCGCTGTGCTATTGCTCCAGCCCCTCGCTCCAGCCTTTTAAGTCTCTATCACACAACCTCTTGTCCCTCCCCTGGAAGACTCCAGGACTTGGGCTTGCAGAATCCCACTGTTGGGACAGGCATGACCTTAAAGGGTGACCGACCCCAGACTCGCTGCACTTCCTCCTTCCGCCTCTAGAGGGCACATCTGCTGTGGTCCTGGCCCACGGTGCGGGGGTCTGGCGTGATCGGTTCCCACCTACAGGGTCATGGAAGAGCTGGGACCATGGCAAAGGAGGAGGGACAGGACTGGGGACCTGGGTGGAGCTGAGGGCTTGGGTCTTGGACACAGGTGCAAAAACAGGGAGAGGGGCTGGAGTGATAGCACAGCGGGGAGGGCGTTTGCCTTGCACGCGGCCGACCCGGGTTCGATTCCCAGCATCCCATAGGGTCCCCTGAGCACCACCAGGAGTGATTTCTGACTGCAGAGCCAGGAATAACCCCTGTGCATTGCCGGGTGTGACCCAAAAAGCAAAAAAAAAAAAATGGGGAGAGAGGGAGCACTGAAAAGGAGGAGGGGGAGGAAGAAGAGAGATAAAGAGAGGAGGGGTGAGGGGTCCTAGCCCACCCCAAAAGATGAGCTGAGAAACTCACAGCCTTTTCAAGTTGGGTCCACTCAGCCCAGCAGGAAGGGTACTTGCCTTGCATGCAGCCGACCCTGGTTCGATCCACACAAGGTCTCCCGAACCTCACCAGGACTCACCCCTGAGCGCACAGCCCTAAGCACCGCCCAGTATGGCCCAAAAAAACAAAAGAAAAAACTCTGCTTCAATCACGGTCTGAGATAGCTCAATGGGCCAAGCCATGCTGGGGTCCCTGGGTTTAATCTCCCCTCTGTGTGGTCCCCAAATAAAGATAACCCCCCAATGTTTTGGGTGTTTTTTTTTTTGCTTTTGGGGTCACACCCGGCGATGCTCAGGGGTTACTCCTGGCTCATGCACTCAGGAATCACTCCTGGCGGTGCTCGGGGGACATATGGGATGCTGGGAATCGAACCCGGGTCAGCCACGTTGGCTGCGTGCAAGGCAAATGCCCTACCCGCTGTGCTATTGCTCCAGCGCCCCCCCCCACCATGCATGTTTTTTAATGTAACAAAACTAATAGGGGACCAGAGAGATAGGACGGCAGGTATGGCACTTGTCTTGCAAGGGGCCAACCCCGGTTCAATCTCCCAACACCACATCTAGTCCCCCCCCCCAGCACTCTGAGCTTGAGGGATCTCTGAGCACAAAGCCTGGAGTAAAGCACTAAGTGAACAATGCCAGGTGTGGCCTCCACAAAATAATTTAATTTTAATTTTTATTTATTTATGCTTTTTGGGTCACACCTGGCGATGCACAGGGGTTTCTCCTGGCTCTGCACTCAGGAATTATCCCTGGTGGTGCTCAGGGGACCCTATGGGATGCTGGGAGTCGAACCCGGGTCGGCTGCGTGCAAGGCAGACGCCCTACCCGCTGTGCTATCGCTCCAGCCCCAATAATTTAATTTTTAAAAGAGATCCGATACCCATATGCAAAGCACAGAAGCATAAATCTTTTCCAGGAGACATTATATCACCTCGGGGTGATGAGGTGAGATCATGTTTGGTTTTTTTCTTTATCACACCAACGACCTCTTTGAAAGAAGGGAGTGATAAGCTGAACTTCATTAAAATGAAAATGTTCTGCTGGGGAGATGCTATCAGGCCCGGAAGCCAGACAGTGCTGTGACCGCAAATACCTGCTAGAGCTATCTGATTCAGGCAGGACAGGGAAGGCTTCCAAGAAGGTTCAAAGAAAACAAACCATCCGGTTAGGAAGGGAACTAGGGGGGGCTGGAGCGATAGCACAGCAGGTAGGGCGTTTGCCTTGCACGCGGCCGACCCGGGTTCGATTCCCAGCATCCCATATGGCCCCCTGAGCACCGCCAGGGGTAACTCCTGAGTGCAGAGCCAGGAGGAACCCCTGTGCATTGCCGGGTGTGACTCCCTCCCCCCCCAAAAAAAGGAAGGAAACTAGGGTTTTGTTTTGTTGTTGTGAGGTCACACCTGGTGATGCTCAGAGGTTCCTCCTGACTCAGAAACGGCTCCTGATAGTGCTCAGGGCATCATATGGGATGCCCAGAACCGAACCCAGTTCTGCTGCGTGCAAGTAGGAGCCCTACCTGCTGTCATATCACCCCAACCCGGGGAGGAGGGTATTTTAACTGATGTCTCACCCAGGAAGATTTCCGGGTGGGTCCAGATGTCCGTGGCGCCCAAGCCTTGCAAGAAGGAGGCACCAGTTCCATTAGTTCCATAGTTCCATCATATGGTCCACTCAGTGCTGCTGCTTTTGTCCAGTCGGGAGGGATCCGAGAAATTAAGGCATATTTCTTTTTTTTCTTTTTTTTTCTTTTTGGGTCACACCCATCGATGCACAGAGTTTACTCCTGGTTCATGCATTCAGGAATTGCTCCTGGCAGTGCTCGGGGTACCATATGGGATGCTGGGAATCGAACCCGGATCGGGGTACCATATGGGATGCTGGGAATCGAACCCGGATCGGGGTACCATATGGGATGCTGGGAATCGAACCCGGATCGGCTGCGTGCAAGGCAAACGCCCTAGCCGCTGTGCCCCAAGGCATATTTCTTGCATGTGGCCGACCTCCAGCCCCACATGGTCCTTGAGCCTTGCTTGGTGGAGCCTTGGAGGGGCTGACCACGAAGAAGAGACACCCCCACGCCAGGAGTACCCCCAGCCAACCTCCAGGAGTGGCCCCCAAGATCCTAACCACCCCCAGCCAAGCAACTCTAAAGGCCAAAGTGACAAAAATCTCAGATATGATAGAGGTCACTTGGTGGGAGAACGGAATGCATCAATAAATAAGAATGAAAGCTGCAAAAGTTGCGAGTTTAAAAAAAATAATAATCATAAAAATAAAAGTTAAAAAAAAAAAAAATCCACCAGGTCTGGCCAGAAACCCCGGCCGGTGGCTCGTCGCTGCGGGGAGACGGCGCCACCTAGCGGTCCCTCGCTACCTTCCGCCGTAATTTTATTTTTATTTAATTTTTTTTTTTTTTTTTTTGCTTTTTGGGTCACACCTGGCGATGCACAGGGGTTACTCGTGGCTCATGCACTCAGGAGTTACTCCTGGCGGTGCTCAGGGGACCCTATGGGATGCTGGGAATTGAACCCGGGTCGGCCGCGTGCAAGGCAAATGCCCTACCCGCTGTGCTATCTCTCCAGCCCCAAGAATTTGTTTATTTTATTATTTTTTTTCTTTTTGGGTCACACCTGGCGATGCCCAGGGGTTACCCCTAGCTCTGCACTCAGGAGTTACTCCTGGCAGTGCTCAGGGGACCCTATGGGATGCTGGGAATCGAACCCGGGTCGGCCTCGTGCAAGGCAAACGCCCTACCCTCCGTGCTATCTCTCCAGCCCCTATTTTTTGCTTTTTGGGTCACACTCAACGATGCACAGGGGTTACTCCTGGCTCTGCACTCGGGAATCACTCCTGGCGGTGCTCAGGGGACCCTATGGGATGCTGGGAATCGAACCCGGGTCGGCCGCGTGCAAGGCAAACGCCCTCCCCGCTGTGCTATCACTCCAGCCCCATACCTTCCGCCGTGTTTTCAGCGGGGCTGGGAAGAACGAGCATTGAACGTTCCCACCACTTCTCTCCTTCCCCGCACGTCTCGCCCACCAGTTTCCCCATCCTTGGGGCGTCCCTGGGAAAATCGAAAGCGCGACCGAGGCCTCCGATCTCCCTCTGGACTCATGCCAGCTCTTTCTGGTGCAGCCCTGGGGGGAACCCAGAGCACCCCCAGATACCTCCAGCGCTGCCTCCCTTACTGGGGTCTGCACGGAGCCACCCCAACAGTCTCCCCGCTCCTAGAGGAATCTCACCAGCACACAATTCCGCTAACTGCTCTGAGGGAGCTGGACACCGAGTGCGTGGATCACGAGCCACTTTCAAACACCTGGTGATTCACAGATCAGCCCCCACCCCTCCCTCCACCCATACCCAGAAGTGACCCGGTCTGACATCAGTCACTGTCACTGTCCTCCCGTTATTCATCAATTTGCTCGAGTGGGCCCAGTAACTCTCCATTGTGAGACTTTGTTGTTACTGTGTCTGGCATATCGAATACGTCACGGGCAGCTTGCCAGGCTTTGCCGTGTGGGCAAGATACTCTCGGTAGCTTGCTGGACTCTCCGAGAGGGGCAGAGGAATCGAACTCGGGTTGGCCATATAGGCTGCGTGCAAGGCAAACGCCCTACCTGCTGTGCTATCGCCCCAGCCCGGCCCAAACATCACCCCAATAAAAAGTGAGGTGAATTCAATCCCCAGCCCCCCGTGTTCCCCAGAGCACAGAACCAGGAGTAGCCCTGAGCACCACCCCATGTGGCCTCCAGACCCCAAAATAGATGGCACTTCAGTCATTTAACCAAAGAACTTTAGAAGAGTGGAAATTCCCACTGTGGCAAGTAGAAGTATCTTTTAAAAAAAAAATTTCTTTCTCCTCCTCCAAAGCTTTTTTTTCTTCCTTTGGGACAGGATAAACTGTTCTCTAATAATACAAATTAAACAAAGCATTGTTTCAGAGTCAACTGTGAGGACACACTGTTATTTTCCCAGTGAATTGTAGAGAAAACAAACAAGAAGTTTCAGCCCCGCCAGAATCATTCAGCGAGACAAATATTTTGGGGGATTTTCCCTTAATTTGGGCTTGGGGCCACACCCAGCAGTGCTCAGAGCTCACTCCTGGGGAACCATATGGGATGCCAGAGATCAAATTTGGGTGGCCACCAAGTGTACTATCTGTCCTCAACCCTCTGCAACCTGGGGTTACTCCTGGCAGTGCTTGGCGAACCAATATGGGTTGCTGGGACTTGAACCCAGGTCGGCCACATGCAAGGCAAGCGTCCTACCCACTGTACTATTGCTCTGTCCCCCGACTTTTTTTTTTTTGCTTTTGGGCCAAGTACTAACCAGGCCCGACCCTGCTTAGCTTCCAAGATCAGAGGAGATCGGGTGTGTTCAGGGGGGCTAGAGCGATAGCACAGCGGTAGGGCGTTTGCCTTGCACGCAGCCAACCTGGCCGACCCGAGTTCGATTCCTCCGCCCCTCTCGGAGAGCCCGGCAAGCTACCGAGAGTATCTCGCCCGCACGGCAGGGCCTGGCAAGCTCCCTGAGACGTACTCGATATGCCAAACACAGTAACAACAAAGTCTCCAATGGAGTCGTTACTGGGCCCGCTCGAGCAAATCGATGATCAATGGGAGGGCCTTTACTTTTACATTTTGGGCCACACCTGGGATGCTTACTCCTGGCTCTGCACTTAGAAATTAATTCCGGGCTCATCATATAGGATGCTTGCGATCAAACCCAGGGCCGGCCGCATGCATGGCCAACACCCTCCCTGCTGTACTCCCCAGCCCCTAAAGCAGTATTTTATAGGGGTACACCTAAAAGTGTTGGCGTCAGGGTCACTGTGGTCTCACCAGAGGGGCTCAGGATTGCACCCAGGACTTTATACGTCAGGCTGCTTCTGTCTGATAGGTATCTGAAACCCTAGGCGCTGCCCAGCCCATAGAAGGGGGGGGGGGGGGGGAGGCAGAGCATCCAGTGTCCATGTCCACCCTGTAGAAAGCCAGGACGGAGTACGTGGTATGGAGAAGGGAAGTGGGTCTTCCCCCAGCCCGAGAGGTGGAGCAGAAGTTCTATCCTCGGGGCTGGAGCGATAGCACAGCGGGTAGGGCATTTGCCTTGCACGCGGCTGACCTGGGTTCGATTCCCAGCAGCCCATCTGGTCCCCCGAGCACCGCCAGGAGTAATCCCTGAGTGTATGAGCCAGGAGTAACCCCTGAGCATCGCCGGTTGTGACCCAAAAAAGTAGAGGCAGGGAGAGATAACCCCTGTGCATCGCCGGGTGTAACCCAAAAAACTTAAAAAAAAAAAAAAAACCCTAAATTGGAGGCACCCAGGGCTGGGGGAGTGCCCCCTAGAACGAGGGGTGACAGCAAAGGTACTGCATGTGTGCAGAGAGAGATGAAAAGATGGAAAGAAACTTTAATCTTAACCCCTCACGTGAGGGTCCAGCAGGAGTGTCAAAGTGCAGGGTCGCCCCATGGGAGGAGGGGTCAGTCCTTCCGCGCCAGTCGGGACACGTTCCCCAGCCAGATTCCCCACAGTCAGCTTTAGGGAGCTGAGGGTCTGGGCACCCCAAGCTGCAGAGCCACACCTGCGGGTGCTTGGGTGCCATGAGCCACGTGGCCGCCTGCCACCATCGACCGTGTGTCCCCTTCGCAGCCTGGGGGGGGTTGGGGAGGGGCGGGTGAGGGAGGGTCTGAGGCTTCAGTTCAGAGCAGCGAGCTTTTCCGGTCCAGCAGCACCAGGCAATTCTTCAGGTCCACCAGCAGCCACAGGCGCGAGGGGCGTCTCGGGACCCCCAGGCAGTAAAACACCAGGGAGGTGACGGCCAGGCCTATGATGAGCACCGCTGTGGGGGGGGGGGGGGACAGAAGCCAGGTCAGACAAGGACACCCGGGAAGGCGCCTGCCTTGAGTCTGATTCCCCCTCATCACCACAGGGTCCTGAGCCCCAATGAGCAAACAAACTGAACCAGACAGGAAGCATCCCCCCTACACACACACACACACACACACACACACACACACACACGCAACACCAGCCCCGCCCCGCCTGCAGGAGTGGAATTATTGTCTTACCACCAACCGCCACACCCCAACTGGCACTTGGGTTTCGTGGCTGGGCTGAGAGCCGGTCCCCGGGAGGAGAGGCCGAGGAGTTGCTGACAGTGGGGGTGCTCTCCAGGGCCTCGGGGGTCGCCGTGGACGTGCCGATCCCCTCCTGATCGGTCTGATTTCCTGCAGGAAGTCCCGGGTTCAGAGGCCAGGCAGGGGGAGGGGAACTGCCAGGCACTCCCGGGGGTCCCCCTGGAGCTCCTCAAGCCCCCGACCCAACAGATGCCAGCGCGCCCCCGCCTTGCCAGGGCCAGGTTTTCCTCCCCAAGACCCGCCCGCCGCCCAGTCCCCACGGGCCCCCCCCCCAGGGCCTCGCACCACAGCTCCGCTCGTCGCTGGCGTCGGGGCAGTCGGGGTGGCCGTCGCAGAGCCACGTGAGCGGGATGCAGGCAGCGCCCAGCAGGCACCGCAGCTCTCCTGCGGGGCACGGCGGGTAACTGCAGTTAAGGTGATGCAGCTCGGCCCCACCCGGGCAGTCCTGGATGTTGTCGCAAGAGCAGGGGTCGCGGGTGGGCGGTGGACACGGCCCGTCCTGGGCACACGGTTCGATTCCTGGGGCCACAAAGGTGGGGGTCAGGTCCCAAAGGCCCACCCGAAGCGGGGAACTAAGACTCCCGACCCCTGCAACGTCTGCCCATCAAGGGGGTCCCCCGCCCTCTACTTCCAAGCCTGCCCCTGCTTTGGCCCCGCCCTGTGGTATCTAACAGGAAGCCCCGCCCCTGACTAGGCCCCGCCCCTGACTAGGCCCCGCCCCTGACTAGGCCCCGCCCTATGGTACCTAATGGGAAGGCCCCCCCCACAAGGCCCCGCCCTGTGATACCCAATGGGAAGCCCTGCCCCTGACTAGGCCCCACCCTGTGGTACCTAAGGGGAAGCCCCGCCCCTGACTAGGTCCCGCCCTGTGGTACCTAATGGGAAGCCCCGCCCCCGACTAGGCCCCGCCCTGTGGTACCTAATGGGAAGTCCCGCCCCTGACTAGGTCCCGCCCTGTGGTACCTAATGGGAAGTCCCGCCCCCGACTAGGCCCCGCCCTGTGGTACCTAATGGGAAGTCCCGCCCCTGACTAGGTCCCGCCCTGTGGTACCTAATGGGAAGTCCCGCCCCTGACTGGGCCCCGCCCTGTGGTACCTAAGGGGAAGTCCCGCCCCTGACTGGGCCCCGCCCTGTGATACCCAACGGGAAGCCCCGCCCCCGACTAGGCCCCGCCCTGTGGTACCTAATGGGAAGTCCCGCCCCTGACTAGGCCCCGCCCTGTGGTACCTAATGGGAAGCCCCGCCCCTGACTAGGTCCCGCCCTGTGGTACCTAATGGGAAGCCCCGCCCCCGACTAGGCCCCGCCCTGTGGTACCTAATGGGAAGTCCCGCCCCTGACTAGGTCCCGCCCTGTGGTACCTAATGGGAAGTCCCGCCCCTGACTGGGCCCCGCCCTGTGGTACCTAAGGGGAAGTCCCGCCCCTGACTGGGCCCCGCCCTGTGATACCCAACGGGAAGCCCCGCCCCCGACTAGGCCCCGCCCTGTGGTACCTAACGGGAAGTCCCGCCCCTGACTAGGCCCCGCCCTGTGGTACCTAATGGGAAGCCCCGCCCCTGACTAGGTCCCGCCCTGTGGTACCTAAGGGGAAGCCCCGCCCCTGACTGGGCCCCGCCCTGTGATACCCAACGGGAAGCCCCGCCCCCGACTAGGCCCCGCCCTGTGGTACCTAATGGGAAGCCCCGCCCCTGACTAGGTCCCGCCCTGTGGTACCTAATGGGAAGCCCTGCCCCTGACTGGGCCCGGCCCTGTGATACCCAACGGGAAGCCCCGCCCCCGACTAGGCCCCGCCCTGTGGTACCTAATGGGAAGCCCCGCCCCTGACTAGGTCCCGCCCTGTGGTACCTAATGGGAAGCCCCGCCCCCGACTAGGCCCCGCCCTGTGGTACCTAATGGGAAGCCCCGCCCCTGACTAGGCCCCGCCCTGTGGTACCTAATGGGAAGCCCCGCCCCTGACTAGGTCCCGCCCTGTGGTACCTAATGGGAAGCCCCGCCCCTGACTAGGTCCCGCCCTGTGGTACCTAATGGGAAGCCCCGCCCCCGACTAGGCCCCGCCCTGTGGTACCTAATGGGAAGCCCCGCCCCCGACTAGGTCCCACCCTGTGGTACCTAATGGGAAGCCCCGCCCCTGACTAGGCCCCGCCCTGTGGTACCTAATGGGAAGCCCCGCCCCTGACGAGGCCCCGCCCTGTGGTACCTAATGGGAAGCCCCGCCCCTGGCAAGGCCCCGCCCTGTGATACCCAACGGGAAGCCCCGCCCCTGACTAGGCCCCGCCCTGCGGTACCTAACGGGAAGTCCCGCCCCTGACTAGGCCCCGCCCCACAGTACCTAATTGGAAGTCCCGCCCACGGTTAGGCCCAGCCCCTGGAGGTTTGTTTTTTTTTTTTTTTTGCTTTTTGGGTCACACCCGGCGATGCACAGGGGTTCCTCCTGGCTCTGCACTCAGGACTCACCCTGGTGGTGCTCAGGGTGGTGCTATGGGATGCGGGGAATCGAACCCGGGTTGGCCGCATGCAAGGCCCTCCCCGCTGTGCTATCCCTCCAGCCCCATCCCTGGAGGTTTGATTGTAAACCCCCCACCTCCCCCGGGGTGTGGCCACTCACTGCAGGCCTCCTCGTCGCTGCCATCAGGACAGTCCTCATCACTGTCACAGCGCCAGGTGAGGGGCACGCAGTAGCCGCTGGAGCGACACTGGAAGCTGGAGGGCGGGCAGGAGGCTGGAAGATGAGCACAAGGGCGGGTGGAGGCTCAGGATGGGGCCCCGGGCGGCTATGGAGGCAGCGGAGGGGCCGCGCACCGGTTCCCAGGAATGGTATGATCGGCCACCTTTCCCGCCCTCATTTGACGGATCCCACCTGCTTCACAAAGGGGAAACTGAGGCTCTCGATCTGCTGGGTCACCAAGCCGCAATAACTCACCAGCTCGGTCCCCCATCCTGAAAGCGGCGCCCAGCTCATCTCTTTTTGGACAGCAGACACCTCTTAGAATCAAGCTCAAATCACCCTAGTGCCCACCCTCTGGTCAACTCCGGGTCCTGTCTCCTGTCACCGTTCTGCCTCATCTGGTCCCCCGAAGACCCAGCCCTTCCCTTCAGACCTCCCCCCTCCTCTGGTTTCCAGCAGCTTCTCCAAGGGGGCAGGGGCCTGCCTCTTCCAGTCCCTGGCAGACTGTGCTGGCCTTCCCCCAACCTGACACCCAGTGAGCACCTCCTTGGCCTATTCTTGGGAAAGGGTTCAAGGCCCTGCCTCCACCTGTCACCCCAGTCTCCCGGAAGCCCAGCCACGCTGCACCCAGCCATGAGGCTCGGCCTGGGTCCTCATCCGGAGGTGAAGAGAAGGGCCTGGAGAGGGGTAGGGGAGAAATCTGGCTCTGGGAACTGGAGTACGTGCAGGAGCCCTGGGCTCATCCCCTGGGACCTCATGGTCTGGAAGCACCACCTGGTGTGATCCAAAAAAAGGATTTTTAAAAAGGCAGAAGGACTTCGGATCTGAGTCTAAGCCAGAGAGGAAGGGAGAGCCTCTCAGGGCTTCCTCGTAAACATGGCAGCTGGCTGCCAGCCTGGCTGGACCCCAGCAGGACACAGTTCAATCTGCCTGAAGCCTTTTCTTCTTCAGTTTGGGCCATATCCAGCAGTCATCCAGGTAATCAAGAGTTTGGGACTGAATCCTGCTCCTTGGTCCGCACCAGGCTATGCTCAATCGACTCCTATCTCTGTTTTTTTGGTTTGGGGGTCACACCCTGGCAGTGCTCTGGGCTGACTCCTGGCTCTGGGCTCACGGATCATTCCTGGAAGGCTCGGGTGCCAGGGATCAAACCCGGGTCGCCTGCGTGCGAAGCAAGGACCCCACCCACTGTTTTGTAGATCGCTCTGGTGCCTATACTTAGCTCTGTGCTAGGGATCACGCAGAGAGGTGCTCTAGGACCCTATGCAGTGCAAGGCAAACACATGACCCCCAACTCTCCAGCTCAAGTCCAGCTTTTTTGAAAAAAAAAAATATATATATATAGTAAGTCGCCTAAAAAGGCTTTGTTGGGAGGCTGGAGAGATAGCACAGCGGGTAGGGCGTTTGCCTTGCACGCGGCCCACCCGGGTTCGATTCCCAGCATCCCAAAGGGTCCCCTGAGCACCGCCAGGAGTAACTCCTGAGTGCAGAGCCAGGAGGAACCCCTGTGCATCGCCGGGTGTGATCCAAAAAGCAAAAAAAAAAAAAAAAAAAAAAAAGCTTTGTTGGGCATTACGGCCAGGGGTCAGCTAAGAGGCGTAGAATACGGGTGGGGAAACTGAGCTCACAGCGTTTCAAGTCTGGAGCACCGGAACACAAGACCCAAGACCGGCACGTTCACTTAACCCAGGACCTTTTGTTCTCGAAGATCGGGAGGAGGAAGATGTAGAGACTGGAAGGGCAGGGGAAGGCGCCAACCAGGTGACGGGTTTAGAGGTCGGACAAACCGAGCCAGCCAAGCGCCTTGCTTCCCACGCCGGACTGCAGAGTCCCGGGGGTGGGGGGGTGGGGGTGGACAGAGGAGCCGGACTCTGCAGGACCGGGAAGGAGGGTGCGAGCAGACTCGAGGCTGGGCTACGTAAACCCCGCAGAGCAGCCCCCACTAAGCCAAGCACCCCCCCACCAAACCAATCCGGCCAGCTCCAGCTCGCAACCCGAAGAACTGCAAGCCCCGGGAGCTCGAGCCACGTGCAGGGGGAGTGTCCGTGACGGACGGGCGCAGCAGCCAATAGCGAGGCGCGGAAGGCACGAGAGGGCGGGGACAGCGCCTCGGAGGCGGGAGGGAGACCCCGGTGGCGCGGGGCGCGCTCACCTTGGGCCTGTCCCAGCGACCTGGACCCAGGCGGCAGCGGACTCAGGGCGACCTGGCGGCCCAGCTCGAGAACCAGCAGCAGCCGCAGGGCCAGGTCCAGAGTCGTTCTCGGGCGCGCTCCGGCCCGGGCCATCCACGCGCGCTCCTCGCCGCCGCCGCCGCCGCCGCCGCCGCCGCCGCCGCCGCCGCCGCCGCGCCCGGCTCCGGACTCCTCCTGCGCATGCGCACACCCGCGGGGGGCGGGGCGGGGCCTTCGGCGCGGCGTACCGTAAATGCCGTAATACGAGGGCGATCAGAGGCCCTGAATCGCATCTCCACTTTTCCCGCCCCCCACCCCGGGGACGAGGTATATAACGCCGAATAAGGAGAGGCCGCCACCTGTGAAGTCAGAAATTCCTGGGGGACGCGGGCTGGAGAAATTAGACAGCCGGTCCAAGTTGCACGTGGCTGCCCAGGTTCGATCCTCGGCATCCCACATGATCCATGATTCCCCCCACCCCCACCCCCACCCCAGTACTGCCAGCCAGCCAGAAGTTATTCAAGAGTGCAGCCAGGAGTAAGCCCTGAGCATCGCCGAGTGTGCATCCCTCCAAAAAAAAATAAAAACAAAAGTAACATTCTGGGGGCCCATAATAGCTGTACTGTGCAAAGACAGTAAGTACAGCAGCCAGGGCGCTAGGCTTGCACTCAGTCGACCTCGGTTCGGTCTCCGGCTTCTTATACGGGCTCCTGAGCGCAAACAGGAGTGACCCCAGAACCAGGAAGAAGACTGACCATCGTGGCCCAAATGATGCTTGACCAGTATCTTGAACTCCCCAAGGGTACGCGGTAGTATGTGGATGGCCCATTTACTCTATCTATTACGGTACTCGCGCCCTAACCCTAACCCCTTCCCTTCAGTTGCTAGTAAATGTACTTTATTGACTTATTTTGGCTTGTCTGTACCCTTCTAGGTAGCTTTGGGAAAACGGGAAGCCTGTGTCGCTCAATGCTTGTGTGATAAATAAGTGGGTGAAAGAGACTTTGTGCCCAATCAAGGACCAGTACTCCTTTTTTTTTTTTCCAGGAGATGCTCAGGGCTCAGTTCTCGGAAATTCTTCCTGGCAGTGCTCAGGGAGCATATGGGATGCCAGGGATCCAACCATGTATAACTGTTGGTTGTGTGCAGAGCAAATGCCCTACCTGTTGTTCTATCACTCCGACCCCTTTCCTGTTCTTGAACATCTAAATGTGGATCACACCTGTAGGATAACACTGGTTTGTCCTTTCTTCCTTGCCACAGGGAGCTTAGGTTTATGGGGTTACACCCATCACAGTGCTCTGTTGACCCGTAAACTCTTCTCTGTGCTCTCCTCCCCAGGCAGTTAATCACCTTTTCTCCCCAGTCAGATTCAGTTCGCTTGTAAGATCAGATCCTTCTAAGAACACTGAACTTGTAAGTTATGTCTTAAAGCAATGTCCTTTCCGTATGGACACAGGAAGACAGTTCATATTAACTTGGGAGTTGATTGACTCCGAATAATATTTACTCCTGGGCATCTGCTTTCTTGACTCAACTGCCCTTAGTTCTCAGGACCTCAAAAGCAGGGTCCCGACGAGGGACTGAATGGACCCAGGGCAAGCTGTGAGCTACCCTGGCATCGAAATGGGCCAGGCCAAAGAGCCACGATACTCAACTATAAGTTGAGGGCATGATCATGGACAAATGCTGTCATGATCCAAAAGTAATGACGAGGGGCTGGAGCAATAGCACAACGGGTAGGGCGTTTGCCTTGCACGGGGCCGACCCGGGTTCGATTCCCAGCATCCCATAGGGTCCCCTGAGCACCGCCAGGGGTGATTTCTGAGTGCAGAGTCAGGATAACCCCTGTGCATCGCTGGGTGTGACCCAAAAAGCAAAAAAAAAAAAAAAAAAAAGGTAGTGATGAGACTAGGACCCTGCTGGGGCTAGGAAGACTAACCTTGCCTGAGGACTGCGGAATATATAGTGAGATGTCCTCAGGAAGAACCAAATTGTCTGTTTATATCTCTTACTGTGCTCATACAGAATGACATTGCAAGAAATACGAGAAGCAGATTTACTGCAACTATTTTAAGTGGATTACTGAGGAAAGAACAAGCCCTCATTGGGATCACCCTTGAGTGGATCTCCTAGTAATCTGGAGTAATCTCTTTAGATGAGATTTTATCCTTGAGGAGAAAATCCTGGAGGACTGGTCTTATCCCTCTTTGTTGATTTGTTAATGTTCAACCCACCTTTGTGTCACCACCCTACGTGATTGCTGTATGAACAAAGACCGTAAGAGCAGAGGGGGCAGAGTCAGATCCAGAGGCCGGAAGAATGAGGGGGGAGCAAGGAGAATGACAGAGCTGGAGCCATAGCACAGCGGGTAGGGCGTTTGCCTTGCACGCGACTGACCCGGGTTCGATTCCCAGCATCCCATATGGTCCCCTGAGCACCGCCAGGGGTAATTCCTGAGTGCAGAGCCAGGAGTAACCCCTGTGCATCACCGGATGTGAACCAAAAAGAAAAAAAAAAGAGGAAAGAGAGAGTGCTGTTGGCCTTTTGAAAACACACAACCACCCATTCCCATCTTTGATAGGTCTCACCTGTCTTGTTTTTTTTTTTTGCAAGCCCCACACCAAGTCTGAAAGCCTGAAGTTTATTTGTTTTTTCTTTTTGGTTCACGCCCGGCGATGCACAGGGGTTACTCCTGGCTCTGCACTCAGGAGCTACTCCTGGCGGTGCTCAGGGGACCCTATGGGATGCTGGGAATCGAACCCGGGTCGGCCGCGTGCAAGGCAAACGCCCTACCCGCTGTGCGATCGCTTCAGCCCCGTGAAAGCCTGAAGTTTGTATCCAGGCAGTTCATCGGTTACAAACATTGGCTGGAGCTCCCAGGCGGGAGCCCTTGCCTTGCCCCAGAAGGGTTCCATCCCCGGCACCACCAAAGAAAAACCAAGTACAAGCGAAATCGATCCTGAAGTGCAATGTATTTGTCGTAAGGTGGGTGTCAGGATTCCTGGAGGGCTGCAGCCATGAGGGAGGCCCAGAGTCACAGGTAGGGCTGGTCTAAGGACAGTTCCCACTTCTTCATAGGCGGAGCTGGTGTCACCGGCCCCTTTATGGAGCTAGAAAACAGAAAAAAAAGGTTCGTTTGGAGGACTGGGTTCCGCTGGGTTTCTCCAGAAACTGGTGACAGGACGGGCCAGGCACTGCCAGGGCTAGAGCCAGGAGCTGGAGGCGAACAAGGCCACTTTCTGGTTGGACCGGCTCCGCATCCAACACTGGGACGTGGAAAAGTTCCAGCCAGGTCTGAAAGATCAAGGCCAAGTAACTGAGAGGCCAGGCCCGGTGACCCTGCAGACACGTGGTCACAAGTGCAAATCCCTGACATCCCACATGTACCCGGCGCACCCCGACAGCTCTGCTCCCAGCGTGGATTGCGACAAGTGGCTCACCTCTCAGCGGACTTGCCGGCCACCAGCGCCTTCTGTGTGGACATGACCACAGAGGGCGGCGTGGACTCCCGGCGGCCGTCACGAGTGCAGTAGTGATTGTTGAAGAGCTTGTGGCTGGGGCCCACGGGGAGCTTGGGAGGAGGCTGAGTCCTGCAGGGAAAGGAGATCAGGAAGTAGGGCGGGAGCGAGAGGACCGTGGGGAGGGTGTTGGCCTTGCACGCGGCCAACGCGGGTTTGATCCCCGGCATCCCACAGGGTTCCCGGAGCACCGTCAGGAGTAATTCCAAAGTGCTGAGCCAGGGGCTGGAGAGATAGCACAGCGGGGAGGGCATTTGCCTTGCACACGGCCGACCCGGGTTCGATTCCCAGCATCCCACAGGGTCCCCGGAGCACCGCCAGGAGTAACTCCTGAGTGCAGAGCCAGGAGGAACCCCTGAGCATCGCCAGGTGTGACCCAAAAAGCAAAAAAAAAAAGCCATGAGCAAATAAATAAAAGCAAAGGTAGCACTGTCCTTCAGTCCTTCCATTGTTCATCGATTTGCTCGAGCGGGCACCAGTAACGTCTCCACTGTGAGACTTGTTGTTACTGTGTCTGGCATATCGAATACACCACGGGGAGCTTGCCAGGCTCTGCCGTGCGGGCGGGATACTCTCGGTAGCTTACCCGGCTCTCCGAGAGGGACGGAGGAATCGAACCCGGGTCAGCCGTGTGCAAGGCAGATGTCCTACCCGCTATGCGATCGCTCCAGCCCAAAAGCAAGGGTATCAAGAAGTACGTCCACCCACAGCCTGATTGGAGCACAGGCTCGGTCTCAATGGCCAGATAGTGGGAGCACTACAGCTGGTGGTAAGCCCAAGGCTGGGAGTTCAATCCCTGGTCCTCCCCCATCCCTGGTCCTCCCTCTCACCCCCCCCCACTGCATGCACCAAGTACAATCCCAGTAGTTTCGCCACCCCCAGCAAAGTACCCAGTACCCCAGCCCTGTCCTTAGGAGGGACCCGGTACCCAGCCTTAGTTCTGGGGATCCCCCCTCCGGGAGCCATACCCAAATGTAAATATCCGGCAAACCCCAAAACTAAGCATGTGTGATTGATTCCCCAGCCATTACAACGATCACCAGATTGGAAGGAGAACAAGAAATCTGAAATGCTCAGTCAGAGTGATAATACAACAGGGAACGCCTTGCACACAGTTGACCAGAGTACGAGGGTCAGCATCCCATAGGGTCCCCCAGAGCACCAGGAGGAGAAATTCCTGAGTGCAGAACCAGGAGTCACCCCTGAGCACTGCCGGGTGTGGCACCCCATCACAACAAAACGAAAATAGTATCTTAAATGCCCAGGCAACAGCTCCAGACTGAGACCACTCTGACGGGCTTTGTTCTCAAAGGCCAGCCAAGGAACCCTAGAACAGAGGTTCCTGTTCCAGTAGAAACTTCCAGAGAGCCCTGCTGGGATCAAGGCTTCTTACTCAAAGCCTCTCGGGGCTGTGGGATCCTGCAGACTCAGGTCTCAGCACTTCCTGCCCCTCCTTAGGCTGGGACTAAACCCTGCTGCGAACTGACAAAGAAGCCTGAGACCCCCAAAGGAAAAGGCAACTTCAAAAGAGGGGCTGGAGCGATAGCACAGTGGGTAGGGCGTTTGCCTTGCACCCGGCCGACCCATGTTCGATTCCCAGCATCCCATAGGGTCCCCCGAGCACCGCCAGGAGTGATTCCTGAGTGCAGAGCCAGGAGTAACCCCTGTGCATCGCCGGGTGTGACCCAAAAAGAAAAAGAAAAAAAAAAAGGGAGAAAAACAGAACAAGAGGGGGCCAGGGGGATTGAGCAGCAAATTGGGTGCCTGCCTTCAGTGTGCTTGCCTTGCAAATGAAGGGCCTGAGTTGGGTCCCCAGCATCTCATAGGGTCCCCAGAGCCCTGCCTTGAGTGACCCTTGAGCTCAGAGGCAGGAGTCAGCCCTCAGCACCAATGGTTGTGGGCAAAAAAGCCAAAAATTTAAATAGAATTAAAAGCTCTGCAAAAATGAAATAGAAATGGGGCTGGAGCGATAGCACAGCAGGTAGGGCGTTTGCCTTGCACAGGGCCAACCCGGGTTCGATTCCCAGCATCCCATAGGGTCCCCTGAGCACCGCCAGGAGTCATTCCTGAGTGCAGAGCCAGGTGTGACCCAAATAGGGGGAAAAAAAAAATGAAATAGAATTAAAAGCTTGCTGGGGACTGCACGCGGGATTCCGAACCTAAAAGCACTCTCACTTTCCTTGTTCGTTTCAGGAAGAGCAAGGGAAAAGGCAGGAGTCTGGCCAGGGAGCGGGGGTCGGCTCACCGCTTGGCGATCTCCTGGTACCGGAGCTGCAGCTTCGCCTGCAAGTCATGCTGTGGAAGGAGAGAAAAGAAGTTCAGAATCCGCAGGGTCACCCCCAGGAAAAGGGAGGGAGGGAGGGAGCAGGGGCCAGCGCCGGGAAGGGCAGCAGGAGATGGACAACGAGGGCGGAGATCTCGAGCTCAAGAAGCAAAGAGAAAAGGCGGGACCCAGTCCAAGGCGGGTGGCCAGGCACGGGAGGTCCTGCACAGCAGAACCGGGCTGCAAGAAGTCACTGCAAGAGGTCTGCAAGAGGTCACTGCAAGGGGGCTGGAGCAATAGCACAGCAGGTAGGGCGTTTGCCTTGCACACAGCCTACCTAGGTTCGATTCCCAGCATCCCATACGGTCCCCCGAGCACCACCAGGAGTAATTCCTGAGTGCATAAACCAGGAGTGACCCCTGTGCATCGCCGGGTGTGACCCAAAAAGCAAAAAAAAAAAAAAAAAAGAGGTCACTGCAAGAAGTCTGCAAGAGGTCACTGCAAGAGGTCTGCAAGAAGTCACTGCAAGGTGTCTCCAAGAGGTCACTGCAAGAGGTCTGCAAGAGGTCACTGCAAGAAGTCTGAAAAAAAGTCACTGCAAGGTGTCTGCAAGAGGTTACTGCAAGAAGTCTGCAAGAGGTCACTGCAAGAGGTCTGCAAGAAGTCACTGCAAGGTGTCTGCAAGAGGTCTGCAAGAGGTCACTGCAAGAAGTCTCAAAAAAAGTCACTGCAAGGTGTCTGCAAGAGGTCACTGCAAGCGGTCTGATCTCGCACTCAGGGCTGCAGGCCCAGGAGGGAAGGAAGTCGCGGGCGGGGGGTTGGGGGGTTCCGGGGTGAAAGGGGGCCCAGGGACGCCCTAACGCAGCCCCCCGCGCCCCACACACCCCGGACGCCCAGTTCCGCAGCATCCGGATGAGGCTCGTCGCCGACGCCATCCTGGGCCGCGGAAGGGCGCCGGTGACGTCAGCGGCGCGGGGGCCGCTGGGAAGGCCGCGTCCGCTCTCGCGAGAGCCGGGAGGTGGGCGTGGCCGGCGGGCCCTATATAAGCGCGGCGCGGAGCACGTGACCCCTCTTCGCTGGTCCCCGGTCCGGATCCCCGTCCGCCATCATGGATACCAGCCGCGTGCAGCCGATCAAACTAGCCCGGGTGAGGCGGGCGCGCGGGAGTGGGACGCCCGGAGGCCGGGTCCGGGGGGAGCCGGCGGGCCGGGTCCGACCCGCTGCTGCTTTTTTTTCTTCCCTCCGCAGGTCACCAAGGTGCTGGGAAGGACCGGATCGCAGGGACAGTGCACGCAGGTTAGCGGGCGCCCTCGCTTGCGATCTCAGTTCCCGGTTGCCCGCCTAGACACCCTTGAGCCGCTTCGGGAGGGCTCCGGGGTCTTCACCCAGCGCTTTGAGGCCGCCCCTTGAGCCCTGCCTGCCTCCGTGCCCGCACAGCGTCCAAGCCCCCTTTCCTGGGTCTCTGGTTCGGGATCTGGGGGCCATCTCCGGCGGTGCTTAGGGCTGAGCTCCTGGCTTTGTGCTCAGGGATCGCGCCTGGCGGGGAGGAGAAGGGGGCGTGGAGCCCAGGCGGTGCCGGCGGGGATCGAACCGCGGGCGACAGCGTGCGCGGCCAGCGCCCTCCCCACGGCGCATGCGCGTGCCCCTTTCCCCGCCCCACGGCGCATGCGCGTGCCCGTCTCCGCCCCAGTGCGCTTGCGCGTGCGCCGCCCCGCCCCCCCGGCGCTGCTACACCTTTCCGCGCTTTTCCCCGGCTCCATCCCCGCCGCACCCTTTTGCACCCGCAGGTGCGCGTGGAATTCATGGACGATACGAGCCGCTCCATCATCCGCAACGTGAAAGGGCCGGTCCGCGAGGGGGACGTGCTCACCCTGCTGGAGTCGGAGCGAGAGGCCCGGCGGCTGCGCTGAGCTGGGGGCCGGTGCGTGTGTGTGTGTCCCCCCACGACCCACCCCAAGAAGTGGGAGAGGCCCGGGAGGGGTGGCGCGGGGTGGGCGCTGGCTGGCTGGCTGGCAGCCAGCGGCTCATGCATTGGCCTGGCTTCTTTGACAGGTCCTGGATCGACCCGGCTCGACCCCCCCTTGGCCCCGCGCGTCTGACCCCGTCCCTGTTCATAAACCAATTTCTTGTACCATGTGAGACCCTCCCGTGTCCTCCTTGTTCTCTTGTGTGTTGGAGCCACACCTGGGGGGCCCCCACCCTGGCGGGCCAGGGAGCGAGCCCGGCCGGGCCCGCGTGCAACACAAGTGCCCTCCTCGCGGTGGCTGTCTGAAGATCTGCTTGGTTGGCTCACCCCGTGGCATGCATGGTCAGTGGCCCTTTATAAGAAGCCCACGAGGGGCTGGGAGCAGTAGCACAGCGGGTAGGGCATTTATTTGCCTTGCACGTGGCTGACCCGGGTTCGATTCCCAGCATCCCTTATGGTCCCCTGAGCGCCGCCAGGAGTAACTCCTGAATGCATGAGCCAGGAATAGCCCCTGTGCATCGTGGGTGTGACCCAAAAAGCAAAATATATATATGTAAACCCCACAAAACAAATCTGAGAGCTTGGAAAGGTTTTATTAAGACCATGGGGGGGCGGGGGGGGGGAATACAGTTTGTCTTCACCCTATCCTGCTGGGTCCCCTTCCGGGCACCCAAGCGATGGTCCAAGGCTTGGGACAGGGTCCCCCCTGGAGGAAAGTTCTTTGTTGCACCCCCGCATCCAGGAACTGCGAGCCAGGCCGCTTCACTGAGGCTGGGGTTCTCCTCCGGGGTCGCTGTGTTCTTCCCCAGGCTCCGCAGTGGGAGAGTCGGCAGGTGGCTGTGATGGGGGGGGGTTGCGGTCAGGAAACAGGGGTGTCGGTCTCCCCCTTCCCCCCGTGTGCGCTTTCCCTTCTGACACTTGCCTGTGTCTACCCCAGGGTCCGTTCACAATTCATGGGGCAGGGGGCGTGTCTATGCCATAGGAATTTTTTTTTCTTTTTTGGCTTTCTGGGTCACACCTGGCGATGCCCAGGGGTTCCTCCTGGCTCATGCACTCAGGAATCACCCCTGGCGGTGCTCAGGGTACCCTATGGGATGCTGGGATTCGAACCCAGGTTGGCCTCGTGCAGGGCAGACGCCCTCCCCGCTGTGCTGTTGCTCCAGTCCCCATAGGATTTTTTTTGATTCACCAAGTCCCAGCCACTCCACTCCGAGTCTAGGGGGACCCCCCACCCACCCACCCACTTACCCACCCATCACACTCACCGAGGCGCCCGGCTGGGCCGAGCTCATGTGGGCGTGGAGCAGGGCGGCCACTTCATCCTGTTCGGCCTCCAGGGCGATGGCCAGGGCACTGGTGCCCTCCTGAGGGTCGGCGGGGGCCGTCAGGCTACTGATGTTGGCGCCCACCCCCGCCCCCCCATACCCACCCAGCCAGCCGCCTTCTTGCCCACCCCCCACCCCACCCCGGGGCCCGCTCACGTTGTCCAGGAGGGCCGCGTCGCAGCCCGGCTGGGCCAGCAGCAGGCGGACGGTGTCCAGGCGGCCGTACTCGCTGGCGCACATCAGCGCGGTGGCCCCGTCCGCGTCCTGCGCGTTCACGTCCGCGCCGCAGGCCAGCAGCGCGGCCACCATGTCCTGGCGGCCGTGGCTGATGGCCAGCATCAGGGCCGTCTGCCCCGTCTGGGTGTCGGGGCGGGGGGAGGAAGGAGAGGAGTCGGCCGGGGTGGGGGGGTGCGGGAGCGCGCGGGTGGGGGGTGGGCAGCCGAGCGCCCCTTACCTGGCTGGCCTTGGCGTTCACGTCCCCCATGCCGAAGAGCCTGCGCACCACGGCCTCGTCCTCCTCCCGGCCGCCGGACGCCAGCGCCGAGAGCATCAGGGCCGAGTAGCCCGCCCGGTTCTGCCGGTCCACGTCACACACCCCTGGGGGGGGGGGAGGGGGCAGTGAGCCCACCCGGTCCCCTCTGCCGGCAAGAGCTGATGAGGCACCTGCCCGCCAGGGGGCGCTCCAGCAACACCTGGGTGAAGCCTTGGGGCGCTCTTAGGGCTTCCTGGGACTCTTAGTGTGTGTGTGTCTGTGTCCTGAGCCTCTTACTCTGTGTGTGTGTGTGTGTCCTGGGCCTCTTACTCTGTGTGTGTCTGTGTGTCCTGGGCCTCTTACTCTGTGTGCATGCGTGCGTGTGTGTCCTGAGCCTCTTACTCTGTGTGTGTGTGTGTGTCCCGGTCCCTTGGGACAATAATGGGCAGGAGCAGAAGGATTGAAAACCACCCTGGGGCTGCAGAGATAGCAAAGCAAGGAAGCTGCTTGCTTGACACAGAGCGACCCCATTGTGGTTCTTCCTGGGCAGCCCAATCAGTCCACAGAGCCGCAGTAGGTGTGATCCCTGAGCACCGCCCAGTGTGCCCCACCCCCACCCCAATAAACAAAATGATAACTGCATTGAGTGGAGATCCTGCAGCAGAGAGCCTTCGAGAATCTGACTTGTGGGTCAGAGACATGCTACATCAAGTAAGGCACTTGCCTTGGCACACAGCCGACCGGGTTTTCATCCCTGGCACCCCAAGTGATGCCTCGAGCACTGAGACAGGATTAAACCCTGAGCCCAGCTAGGTGTGGCCCCAAACCAAATTTTTAAAACATGTTCTTGGTTTTGGGGCCACACGCAGAAGAGCTCAGGGTTTGCTATTGGCTTTACACACAAGGATCATCCCGCAGGCTGGGGGTACCATGTGGGGTGCCAGGGGTTGAAACCAGGTCAGCCGCTTGCAAGACAAGCACCTTCCCCGCAGGACTATTTTTTCTGGTATACAGTCAAATATATTTTTGTTAAAGTTTTGGGGGGGGGTCACATCTGGCGCTGCTCGGGAATTACTCCTGACTCCTTTCTCAGGAGTTATTATTGGCGGGGACCGGGAGACCCTCTGGGGTGCTGGGGATTCAACCGGGGTGGACCGCTTGCAAGGCAAGTGCCCTCTTTGCTGTCCTAGTGCTCCAGGCGGGGCCAAATTCTGCGTGGGAGCTATGGTACAGCGGGTCAGGCTTTTGCCTTCCACGCAGTCCACTCGGCTCAATCCTAGGCAACCCGTACCCTGCCAGAAGTAATTCCTGAGTGCAGAGCCAAGAGTAAACCCTGAGCATCACGGAGTGTGACACACACACACACACCGCACACACACACAAAAGCTAAAGCTCTACCTCTGCGTTCCCACAGCCGGCCACGAGGGGGCGACGCCTCCCCGCATTTCACCCCCTTGAAATTTTGGGCAGAAGCAACTGCCCAAAATTGAGCTGGATTTTGGGTTTGGTTTTGGTTTTGGCTTTTTGGATCGCACCTGGCGATGCTCAGGGGTCCCTCCTGCCTCTGCACTCGGGAGTTATTCCTGGTAGCATTCAGGGGACCATATGGGAAGCCAGGGATCGAACTCGGTTGCGTGCAAGGCAAACCCCGTACCCATTGGACTATAGCTCCAACCCAAAACTTTAGCTTTTTTTTTTTGTGGGGGGGGGGAGAATCACACCCTGCAATGCTCAGGGGTTACTTCTGGCTCATGCACTCAGGAGTTACTCCTGGAGGTGCTCGGGGGACCATATGGGATGCTGGGGATCGAACCCGGGTCAGCCGCGTGCAAGGCAAACGCCCTCCCCGCTGTGCTATCGCTCCCAAAATTCAGCTCTAATGAGCCCCAGAGCTCCTTGCAAAGTGTAGAGGAGGCCACGCTCTCCACGCTGGCCCCTGAAACTCCCGAGAAAGGTCCAGCGGGGTCACTGCCCTCCTCTGCCTGAAATCCCCGCCCCCCCCCCCGCCCTCCAGCCCGTGCTTTGGGCCGATGCAGACCCGTGTCCAGCAGCAGGCTGGCGATGGTCAGGTTCCCGTGGGACACGCTGTAGTGCAGCGCCGTGTTCCCGTTGCCGTCTGCCAGGTTCACCACGTGTGCCAGCAGCTCGGGGCCCATGCGCGCCACCGCGCTCAGCACCCCGGCCACCGCCTCCGGCCGCGAGCGCCGCTGGCTGGACACGCGAAACCACTCCTGAGCCACCAGGCGCGCGGCGCCCTGCAGACAGACGGACAGAACAAAACCGACAGGTCGGGCGAGGCGGCAGGGGAAGCTCACGGTGCCCTGGTTCCATCCCCAACCTCAGATGTAAATGCGCGCCCCCAGAGACCCAGGAGAGCACTTACTTGGGGGGGTCCCTGAGCACAGAGCCAGGAATAAGCCCTAAGCACTGCCGGGCATGACCCCCAATAAGGCAGAGAGCACTTACTTGGGGGGATCCCTGAGCACAGAGCCAGGAATAAGCCCTAAGTACTGCCCGGGTATGGCCCCCAATAAAGCAGAGAGCACTTACTTGGGGGGATCCCTGAGCACAGAGCCAGGAATAAGCCCTAAGTACTGCCGGGCATGACCCCCAATAAGGCAGAGAGCACTTACTTGGGGGGATCCCTGAGCACAGAGCCAGGAATAAGCCCTAAGTACTGCCGGGCCTGACCCCCAATAAGGCAGAGAGCACTTACTTGGGGGGATCCCTGAGCACAGAGCCAGGAATAAGCCCTAAGTACTGCCCGGGTATGGCCCCCAACAAAGCAGAGAGCACTCATTTGGGGGAGTCCAGGAGTGAAAGGTACGGAGACAGATCAGGGCTTTGGGGTAACCAGGGGAAGGTCGGCGCTGTCCGGGGGCAGGGGACGGCCGCGGTTAGCTGCGACATCGACACAGGTGCGGTGACTCCTGGCTGAGAACCCCCCACCCCCACCCCCGACATGATCCTGTCCAAGGGGCGTCCAGCACTCACGCCACTATCGCGGGCGGCCCCTCGTGGCCGGCTCAGCTGCCGCTGCAGCGCTGCGCACGCCTCCCGCAGCCGTGGACTCAGCTCGCACCTATGGGTGGGGGGGCAGAGAGGAGGCGTCTTCCAGGGATGGGGTGGGGGGACGGGGACAGGAAAGGGGGCCACTGCCCCCGTCCCCCAACATGTGCCCCTGGCGCCTGGACTCACCCTCCTGGCTCAGCCGCTGGGGGCTCGGCCTCGGCTGCTGACTCGGGCCCCGGGGTGTCCTGGTTGCATCCCCCGCCACTCTCGTCCCCCGAACCCGAGGAACTGCTCCTCCCGGCGGCCTCCTCGGGGGCGCCTTCGTCGCTGCCACTGTCACTCTCCTCCTCGCTGGATGAGCTTTCGTACCTGGGAGGCCAGTGGCCAGTGGCGTTTGCTGAGTTTAACCCCTGGTAGGTGCGTTTTTGTTTATTCGGGTCTTTTTTGGTTCGGGGTGGGGGGGTAGGACCACAGCCGACGATGCTCAGGACTTACTTCTGGCATCATTCAATGATCCCTGAGGATCCTGGCATCACCCTGGATGCTCAGGGATCACTCCTGGCGGGTTCTATGGGATGCCGGGGATCAAACCCGGGGACTGTGGCCTGCCAAGCAAGCCCCCTCCCCACTGTCCTATCTCTCCGGGCCCTGGGGGGCGGGGGTTCATCCTGCGGTCCTGCGAGCTGGTCTGTGTCCCACACCGCCCAATCCGCTCACAGGGGGAAGGTCCTGAGCCTTGCTAAGCCCACGCGGTGGTGCCCAGGGGCAGCGCCGGGGTTCAGACCCCAGTTCACATCCATCCCCACAGATGTCGCTGGGGTGGGTGGTCGGGGTGGGCAAAGCGCTCACTCTCCATTGAGGACCCCCACGAACTGCAGGCTCTTGGGACCGGAGCTGGGCTGGGCACCCGCTGTACCGTCTCTCTTCTTCATGATGGATTTGAGGGTGGTGCCTGGCCGGGAGGGGAGAAGGACACTGAGCTCCAGGGTGGCCGCCAAAGCAGGGCCAGGGGCCAGGGCACTGGGGGCCGGGCACTCACTCGGGGGCGCCGCGGCGGCCTTGTCCGCATCGGGGGGGTCGGGGCGGGTTCTCCGGGGTCCCGGCGGCGGCGGCCTCCGCGGGGCACTCGGTCTGCGTGGCCTTCTCGGCCTGGACCCACGGGGTCTGCGTGGCGGCCTCCCGCGGCTGGGCACCGGCGTCCGCGTCGGGCTCCCCGTCCACCGCCGCGCGGGTGTCCTCGAGCTCCCGCAGGCGGCCCCGCAGCAGCTCCAGCTCGCGCTCGGCGCCGGCCGGTAGCCCGAGCAACGCCTCGGTCACCCACGCGTCCACCTCGACGGCGTCGGGCACCGCCTCCACGCCGGCCTCCCGGGTCTCCCACACCGCCTGCGCCCCGGCCTCTCGGCTCTCCGGCTCGGCCTGGACGGCCGCCTCCCGCGCCGGGGGCGCCCGGTCCGCGGCCCCGTCGTCCGCCCCGTCGAGGCCCCGCAGTGCGCCCTCGCTGCGCCCGGCGGCCGGCACATCGGGACCCTCGGCCCGGGGGCTGGCCCGGGAGCGGCCGCCGCCGCGCTCCGAGGTGGCCAAGCGCTCGGTGAGCCGCCGGAGCCGGGCGAGCTTGTCCGGGCGCGCCTCGGCCTCCCCGTCGGGCTCCGCCGCCGGCGGCCCGCGGCCCGCCAGCAACCGCGCCTTCTCGGCGCGCAACACGCGCACCTGCTCCTGCAGCTCGGGCAGCGCGCGCGCCTGGTCCTCGAGCTCACGCAGGCGCCGCAGTGCCAGGGCCATCTGCTCCCGCACCAGCTGCAGCTGCGCGGGGCCCGGCGAGGCCGGCGCGGGGTGGGGGGCGGGCCCGGGCGCGGGGCTGAGCCCCCCGGAGCCGCCCCCTCGGGCCGGGCTGAGCGCGCGCTCCCGCGCCCGCGCCTGTGCCAACTCCAGCCGTCGGCTGGTCTCCAGGAGCGTGTGCTCGACGCGCGGGTTGCGCACGGGCGCGCGCGGCGACAGCGGGGGCAGCAGGAGGCCCCCCGAGGGCGCGCCCGGGGACAGGGCGCCCGGCGCTGCCGCTCCGCCGCCGTCATCGCTGGCCAGGGACTCGCTGGACGTCCAGGCGCCGGGACTGCGCACGCCCGCCACGCCGGCCCGGGGAGCGCGGGGACGGCGCGCGGGTGACGGGCCTGGGGTCCGGCGGATGACCGGGCCGCGCTCCAGCTCGTCCACGTACTTGAGGAAGTCCAGGTCCAGGTGAAAGCCGTAGGGCGTCTCCACGGAGTAGGGCGAGCTGGGGCTGCGGGCACCCCCGGCGGGGCCCGGGCACAGGCGAGGGCCCCCCAGGTCTGTGGGCGTGATGGGGGGGGCGTAGGGAGCCGTCAGGCCGGGGAGAACCGAACCGGGAGGAACTGGACAGACGGAGCGACGTGGACGCCACCCCCACGACGACACACCTGGCCCAGCTTCCCCCAAAGCAGACCCCCAGAAAGCCAGGCGCTTGGAGAGAGGGGCTTGGAGAGAGAATCCGGGGAGGGGGGCGCTGGCCTTGCACGCGCCCGACCCGGATTGGAGCCTTGGCACCCCAAAGAGTCCTCGGAGCACCAGCAGGAGTGATTGCTGAGTGCAGAGCCAGGAGTGGCCCCAAAATAATAAAAACAGAAAGCCGGGCGCGTGCATTTTTATTGAGCGCCTAGAACATGCCAAGCGCACTCACTTCCGGGCGCTGGGTTCGGGGACACCCCTTGCCCTCGCATCCCCGGGGGTGAAACACCATCGACCCAGTTGGTGCTTTGGGCATTTGCTCTAGCTCTTGCGGGCCCAGTAACGGTCTCCATCCTGAGACTTGTTGTTACTGTGTTTGGCATATTGAAAACATCATGGGTAGCTTGCCAGGCTTTGCTGTTAACAAGATAAAATGTTGTGGCTGGGGGCGGGGTCTGAGCTTTGGCCTTCAGGGAAAGTTTCCTGCCCCCTGGGTGGGGTGAGACTTAGAAATGTTTCCCTGGTGGGCCCGGCACGGCACGACCCAACAGGGGTAAAGTAGCTCGCCTTGAGCGTAGCAGACCTGGGTTCGAGCTCCATAGGTTCCTGCCAGGAGTGTTCCCTAAGTGCACAGTCAGGACTAAGCCCTGAGCATCGCTGCGCATGGCCAAACAACAACAGCAAAAATGTTTTAGGGGGCTGGAGCGATAGCACAGCGGGTAGGGCATCTGCCTTGCACGCGGCCAACCCAGGTTCGATTCCCAGCATCCCATATGGTCCCCCGAGCACCGCCAGGAGTGATTCCTGAGTGCATGAGCCAGGAGTATCCCCTGAGCATCGCCGGGTGCGACCCAAAAAGCAAACAAAAGTTTTAGGGGGCTGGAGTGATAGCACAGCGGGTAGGGCGTCTGCCTTGCACGCGGCCAACCTGGGTTCGATTCCCAGCATCCTGTATGGTCCCCCGAGCAACGCCAGGAGTGATTCCTGAGTGCAAAGCCAGGAGTAACCCCTGAGCATCGCCGGGTGCGACCCAAAAAGCAAAAGAAAAAAAATTTAAGAAGAAAAAAACCAAAAATTAAAAAAGTTTTGGGGCCAGAGCGATAGATAACACAGTGAGTAGGGGGTTCGATCCTCAGCATCCTATAGGGTCCCCCAAGCCCTGCCAAGAATGATTCCTGAGTGCAGAGCCAGTACGTAACCCCTGAGCATTGCCGAGTGTGACCCAAAAAGCAAAAAAAAATTTTAAAAAAATGTTTTTCAGGGTTTTTCGGGGCTGGAGAGATAGCACAGCGGGTAAGGCATTTTCCTTGCACGCGGCCGACCTGGGTTCGACTCCCAGCATCCCATATGGTCCCCTGAGCACCGCCAGGGGTAATTCCTGAGTGCATGAGCCAGGAGTAACCCCTGAGCATCCCCGAGTGTGAGCCAAAAAGCAAAAAAAAAAATTTTTTTTAATGTTTTTCTCTGATGACCCCACCCCAGTCTGGGACAGAAGGTGAGAATAACTCACCTGTGAGGGAGGCGGGAGAAGAGGTGGGCCAATCTGGGGAGGGGTTGGCCTTCTATGCCACATGTGATTGGCTGGCCCAGATCACAAACTAGCCAACGGGCGTTGAGGAAGAGTCCTTAGCCCCTCCCCTCCCCTCCCTCCCATCCACACTCCAGGGTTCCCAGGGTGGACGTGCTTAAGGGCTTTTGGGTTTCGTTTTGTGTTGTTTGCACACTCACCGGGCAGGTTCTGATTCAGAGCAAACTTGGCCATGTTTTCTGCAGTCCCCGCTAGGCGCACCCTGGAAAAAGCATCCCCACCCCCGCACCAGGGAGTAAGTTGGGGCGTCCCTCCCGCTGTGCCTCTGGGGGCAGCTATAGAGAGAGACCCCAGAGTTCCTCTGCACCCCAATCCATGCACACCCTCAGGCCCCCTCCTGAGGACGGAGTCAGAGGACAGCAGACAGGACCTCTGTAAGCGCTTGACTGACCCGCGTTCGATCCCCAGCACCCAGAAGGGTCCCCACTGGCCCCAAACACCACCAGGAGTTGAGCCCTGAGTGCATGAGCCAGGAGTAACCCCTGAGCATTGCCGGGTGTGACCCAGAAATAAAAAAAAAATTAAAAATTTTTTTAAAAAGGGGCTGGAATGGCTGGATCAATAGCACAGCGGGTAGGGCATTTGCCTTGCATTTGGCCAACCCGGGTTCAATTCCCAGCATCCCATATGGTCCCCCGAGCACTGCCAGGAGTGATTCCTGAGTGCAGAGCCAGGAGTAACCCCTGTGCATTGCCGGGTGTGACCCAAAAAGCAAATAAATAAATAAATATAAATAAAAAGGGGCTGGAGCAATAGCACAGCAGGTAGAACGTTTGTCTTGCACGCGGCCGACCCGGGTTCAATTCCCAGCATCCCATATGGTCCCCTGAGCACCGCCAGGGGTGATTCCTGAGTGCATGAGCCAGGAGTAACCCCTGAGCATTGCTAGGTGTGACCCCCAAAAGCAAAAAAAAATTTTTTTTAATAAAGGAAAATCAGAAGGCCATAAAGGGGTTGGGCCCCTCTGGGAAGCTTTCAGATGCCAGGAGAATACTTACTATCATTTACCTACTGGCTGCCTTTCCCGTCACCTGTAAACCAACCCCCCGCCCCCCGGGGCCCAGGGAAACCTTCAGGGCTGACAATTCATAACTTGCCAGCCTGAGTTCGATTCCCGGGGTCGCCCACATACATCACCGTGCCCAATCCTGGCAGCTAGCTGTGTGGGATCCCAGGTAGACCATCAGGGGTCTCCTGCCCCCACCCAAACCAGACATATCCAAGCACTGATGGAAAAGGGTGTGTGAGAGATCGAACTCGAGTGGAATTCAACCCCAGTTAAGCTCGGAACTGAATGTCTGAGCTGATCCCCAGAACCAAGTCAAGTGCAGACCGCCCACCGCCCCCACCCCCACTCCAGTCATCCAAACGTTATTTACAAAGAGGCAGTGGGAGAGCATCAATTACTAGGGGCTCGGGAGATGCCTCAAAGGGCTGGACTGCAGGCTTTGCCTCAGTTTTACCCCAGCACCCTGTGATCCCAGCGCACTGCTCGAAGCATCAACAGTTGTAGTTAGTCCCAGAATCAAACAGAAAATGATCGCAATCGGGGGCTGAGCACGATAGCACAGGTGGGGAAGGGCATTTACCTTGCACCCAGCCAACCCAGGTTCGATTCCCGACATCCCATAGGGTCCCCTGAGCACCGCCAGGAGTGATCCCTGAATGCAGAGCCAGGAGTAACCCAGGGGTGACCACCCCCTCCCCAAAAAAAGATACACTAAATGATGATATAAGTCAAATGTTGCCCCCGCCCATTCCGGAAGTGGTGGATCTTGTCAGTCACACGTTCCCAGTGGAGGAACTAAGGGGGCAGAGAAACTGGGTGAGGGGCTGTCTTCAGAGAAAGCTTTGCGGGCTGGAGCAATAGCACAGCGGGGAGGGCGCTTGCCTTGCACGCGGCCGACCCGGGTTCGATTCCCAGCATCCCATATGGTCCCCTGACACCTCCAGGAGTGATTCCTGAGTGCAGAGCCAGGAGTAACCCCTGTGCATCGCCGGGTGTGACCCAAAAAAAAAAACCCAGAAAAGGAAAAGGCTTTGCCGGGTTTATCTTGTTTTGTGTGGCGGGAGGACTTACTCCTGGCTCTACGCAAGCGCAGGGATCATTCCTCCCAGGCTCAGAGGACCATATGGGGTGCAGGGGATCGAACCCTGATGGTCCGCATGCAAGAGAAGCGTGCTGCCCGCTATACCGTTGGTCCAGCCCTGGCTTTGTTCATCCTGCAGGATCTCATCTAGGGGCCAGCACCTACCCAAGTCGGACTGTGCGTTCCAGACCCCGCTGACCATCATGGCCAACCACCTGCCACCCTTTTGACCTTCACCTTTGGTTTTTTAGCTTGGGGGCTCCACCGCGTGGTGCTCAAGAATCACTCCTGGCAGTGCTCAGGGGACCCACTTTGGTGTCAGTGATGGAACAGGAGCTGGCTGTGTGCAAGAAAAGTGCCTTGTGCCCCGTCCTCTTCCTCCAACCCTCTGCATTCTTCAGGGGATTTGATTATTTTGGGTTTTTTTTTTTTTTGCTTTTTTTTTGGGGGGGGTCACACCTGGCGATGCACAGGGGTTACTCCTGACTCTGCACTCAGGAATGACTCCTGGCGGTGCTCAGGGGACCATATGGGATGCTGGGAATCAAACCCGGGTCGGCCGCGTGCAAGGCAAACGCCCTACCCGCTGTGCTATCGCTCCAACCCCTGCATTCTTTTTAAAGACTTGTTCTGGGAGTGGGCTGGAGCGATAGCACAGCGGTAGGGCGTTTGCCTTGCCAGCAGCCAACATGGATGACCCGAGTTTGATTCCTCCGCCCCTCTTGGAGAGCCCAGCAAGCTACTGAGAGTATCTCGCCCGCACGGCAAAGCCTGGCAAGCTCCCCGTGGCGTATTCGATATGCCAAACACAGTAACAACAGGTCTCACGATGGAGATGTTACTGGGCCCGCTCGAGAAAATCGATGAACAACGGGAGGACAGGACAGTGACAGTTCTGGGAGTGGGATCACAACCAGCGGTGCTCAGTGGCCACAGATGTACACGGGAACATCTGTGGTGTCAGGATTCCAAAATTGACTATGGCCACAGCCACCTATGTGCAAGGCAGGGCCCTTCCCCTCTGTCCCTCTATCTCTCCATCTCTCCAGCCCACTCCTGTGAGGGTTACTTAATTTTATTTATTTTTGCAGTGACAGGGAGCAAACCAGGTCTCATGCACGCAAGGCATGCACTTCAGATTGAGTCATCTCCCTGGCCTCAAAATAATTTTTTTCCAATGTGTGGAGAAGCCTGTGTTCGTTCTCTCTCTCTCTCTCTCTCTCTCTCTCTCTCTCTCTCTCTCTCTCTCTCTCAATCTTTCTCTCTTTGTCTCTCATCTCTTCATCTCTCTCTCCTCTTTTTCTCTCCTCTCTCCTCTCTCCCTCTCTCTCTCTCTCTCTCTCTCTCTCTCTCTCTCTCTCTCTCTCTCTCCTGTCACACTTTTCTCTTTGAGGGACACCCCCAATTGTGCTCAGAGCTTCTGGCTCTGCACTCAGGGATCACTCCTGGCTCACTTGGGGAACCAAAGGCTTCCCTGAGTAAATTTATTTAAATAAAACTATTTTGCAGGGGCTGGAGCGATAGCACAGCGGGTAGGGTGTTTGCCTTGCACTCAGCCAACCCAGGTTCGATTCCCAGCATCCCATAGGGTCCCCCCGAGCACCACCAGGAGTAATTCCTGAGTGCAGAGCCAGGAGTAACCCCTGTGCATTGCCGGGTGTGACCCAAAAAGAAAAAAAAAACTATTTTGCAGGTGCCCAAAAGATAGTCCAGCTGGGAGGGAGGGCACTGGCCTTGCATGCTACCAACTTGTGTTCCATCCCCAGAACCCCACAGTGTCCCCCGAACCAGCCAGAAGTGATCCCTGAGCACAAAGCCAGGAATATCAGCCCTGAGAAGGGCCCCCCACCACCGCAAAAAAAAAAAAATTTGGTCTCACCAAAGAAAAAAGAAAAAAAACTCACACTGGTGATATGATATGGGTGAGGGGTAGCATAGATGCAAAACACAGACTCAACAATGCTGAAAACATGAGATTTAAGCCGCAACCACTGAAACTTTGTCATGTGCCTGTCCAGGTGACAGGCGGGGGTGGGGTGGGGAGAGACTATGGAAACACTGGTGGAAGCGGTGTTGATTAAAACTCAGCTATCAAGGGGCTGGAGCCATAGCACAGCGGGGAGGGCGTTTGCCTTGGACGCGGCCGACCCGGGTTCGATTCCCAGCATCCCATAGGGTTCCCCGAGCACCACCAGAAGTAATTCCTGAGTGCGTGAGCCGGGAGTAAACCCGGTCACAGTTCCTTCCTCAAAAATAAATAAAAGATGGGCTGTGTATCACCGGGTGTGACCCAAAAAAAGCAAAAAAAAATTTTTTTAATAAAATAAATAAATAAAAGATGTACAACTCAAAAAAGTAAAAGTTGGGGCTGGAGCAATAGCACAGCAGGTAGGGCGTTTGCCTTGCACGCGGCCGACCCGGGTTCGATTCCCAGCATCCCATAGGGTCCCCCGAGCACCACCAGGAGTAATTCCTGAGTGTGTGAGCCGGGAGTAAACCCTGTGCATCACCAGCTGTGACCCAAAAAAGCAAAATAAATACATAAATAAATAAAAATTAATAAGGCCCTAATAAGGCCCTCCCGTTGATCGTCGATTTGCTCGAGCGGGGCCCAGTAACGTCTCCATTGGAGACTTTGTTGTTACTGTGTCTGGCATATGGAATACTCTCGATAGCTTGCCGGGCTCTCCGAGAGGGGCGGAGGAATCGAACTCAGGTCGGCCATGTTAGCCGCTTGTAAGGCGAACACCCTACCCGCTGTGCCAGACACAGTAACAACAAAGTCTCCAATGGAGACGTTACTGTACTAATCATACAAATAAAAATTAAAATTAAAAAAAACCTCAGCTATCAGTAATTTTGTAAATCACAGTTTCTTCATCAAAAATAAACAAAAGATGGGGCTGGAGTAACCGCTGTGTATCGCCGGGTGTGACCCCCCCCAAAAAAAGCAAAAAATAACCACCAAATTTTAAATAAAATAAATAAATAAAAGATGTACAGCTCAAAAAAGTAAAAGTTGGGGCTGGAGCAATAGCACAGCGGGTAGGGCGTTCGCCTTGCACGCGGCCGACCCGGGTTCGATTCCCAGCATCCCATATGCCAGGAGTAATTCCTGAGTGCGGAGCCAGGAGTTAACCCTGAGCATCGCCGGGTGTGACCCAAAAAGCAAAGAAAAAAAAGTAAAAGTTAAAAAAAAAATTGGGGGGCTGGAGCGACAGCACAGCAGGTAGGGCATTTGCCTTGCATGCAGCCAACCCGGGTTCGATTCCCAGCATCCCATAGGGTCCCCTAAGAACCACCAGGGGTGATTCCTGAGCGCAGAGCCAGGAGTAACCCCTGTGCGTTGCCAGGTGCGACCCAAAAAGCAAAAAATAATAATAATAATAAAAAATTAATCTTTGGGCCACACAAGGCAGTGCTCAGGGAATCCCGGACTCCAGCAGGCCACGTTCTGCTCCAGCGACCCAGCCAGCTCCCAGGACCCAGAATTTCTTCCCATCTCAGCCCTTCTGAGCACCCACCCTGTTCCCCACCTCTGGTCCGCCCCCTCCAGGCTGGCAAGGAACTGCCGCGTTCTGACCCTCCGTCCGCAGCTGTTTCCTCTCTTCTGGCACCAGCTGCGGGGGTTCAGGGCCTGGAACAACCCGTCCGCTCTCTGTCTTGTTTGCAGGAAACAGCTGGAGGGGAGTGGGGACGTGGGTGGCAGAAACCTGGGGGGGGACTGTGGCCGGGCCTCTCCCTGGACGGTCGCCCGTGACAGCCGCAGAGAACCCAGTCACACCCCAGCGAGGCCGCGGGGAATGCGGGCAGGAGGTGGGAGCCAGCTGGAGGGCCCAGGGCAGGGGGATGGGAGGGGGCAACGCACTGAGGCTGGGTGGAGAGAGAGGTGGGTCCCCGGCCCCACCCTCAAATAGAGGGAGCTGCTAATAATAGTCACGCTTGGGCTAGGCACCATGAACCAGCGGCTATTCTGAGCCATTTAAAGAATTTCGTTTTTAACCATATGTTTTGGGGGTGGGTGCATCCTGGTTCGATCCCCGGCATCCCAGAGGGTCCCCAGAGCACCGCCAAGAGTGATTCCTGAGGGACTTGGAATGATAGCACAGCGGGGAGGGCGTTTGCCTTGCACACGGCTGACCCGGGTTCGATTCCCGGCATCCCCTATGGTCCCCCGAGCACCGCCAGGAGTAATTCCTGAGTGCATGAGCCAGGAGTAACCCCTGTGCATCGCCGGGTGTGACCCAAAATAAAAGTGATTCCTGAGCGCAGAGCCAGGAGGGGTTCACCCTCGCCCCCAAATAAAACTGCACTGTAGTACTGTCCTCCTGTTGTTCATCGATTTGCTCGAGCGGGCCCAGTAACATCTCCATCGTGAGATTTGTTGTTACTGTGTTTGGCACATCGAATACGTCACGGGGAGCTTGCCAGGCTTTGCCGTGCGGGCGAGATACTCTCGGTAGCTTGCCGGGCTCTCCGAGAGGGGCGGAGGAATCGAACTCGGGTCGGTCATGTTGGCCGCGTGCAAGGCAAATGCCTTACCCGCTGTGCTATCGCTCCATCCCAAATTATATTTTTTGTTTGTTTGTTTGTTTGTTAGTCTGTCAGTGCTCTGGGCTTACTCTGTGCTCGGGGATCACTCCTGGCGGGGTTCAAGGGACCCCATGGGGTGTGCAGGGATTGAACCCAGGTTGGCTGCCTGCGAGGCAAATGCCTTAACCCTGGTACTAGCCTCCAACCCCTAAAATTGCGTTTGTTCTGGGAGGGGCCCGGCGGCGAGGTGTGTGCGTGCGCTGCTTGTGTGAGCCCTGGTGAGTTGGATTTCCAGAGAATCACAAAAGAGGAGGGAAAAGAAAAAAAGAAAAACAAACACCAAATTCCTCTGCTGAAGCACGTCCCGTGGTTCCGAGAGACCCTCGGAGACACGCAACGATGGAATCGAGCTTGTTGTCAAGGTGTCACAGTAGAAGACAGGAACCCAGCCCACTGGGGTCAGCAGCCCGTCAGCCTGGTGGCCTCCTGGGGTCGGAGAGATAGCCCAGGGGTCAAGCCCTTGGCCTTCCCGCTGACCCCTGTAGGAATTCCGGCCTCCACCTACAGTTCCAGGAGCATCGCCAGGGGACGCGCCTGAGCACCGCACCAGGAATAGCCCCTGAGCACAGCAGGGTGAGGCCCCCCGCACCGACCCCGCCCAAATAAAAAAGATAAATAAACCTGCTTGGTCTTCTACGCCTTATTCCTTGGGTGTGGCTCTCCCAGCCTGCACCATCCCTGTCCTGTGCGCCCCTGATGATGAAGGGTCTGGGGGCTGCAGCCCGCACCCTGGTAACTCCCCGGATCGCCTCTCTGCTCCCAAGCCTGAGCTGTCAGATCTCGCTGCGGATGCAGTGCCTGAGACCCCCTCATTAGGCCGTCAGGAGGCGAAGCCAGACGCCCCCACTCCCGCCCCTGAGACTATTTTCGGGAACTGCATCGAGTCACAAACACCAAAGGGGCAGGAGGCAGGGGTGGGGGGGCGCGCCGGGAGGTGGAACCCCCTGCAGTTGGGGAAGAACCCGCAGACCCCCTCGGGTGCGGGGAGAGGTCCCCCCTCGAGCCAGGCACCCCACTGCACACCTCACCACAACCCCCCTCCCCAAATCCCCGTTGCTTCTAAAAACTCAGCCGTTTCCTGCAGGAAACTCCGCCGGGCGGTTCCATCCGCTGCTGCCCATTGTCTGTGGGGGCCCCCCCCTCCCCAGGCCGGTCGTCGCTCCCCCCAACACAGTTTCCTGAGCATCCCCCGCCCACCCACCCCCCAAATACAGACACACACACATGCACACAGAGTCAGGTCCGGTGCAAGGGGCTCGATGATGCAGTTCCCCCTGGGGCACAAGTGGAATTTTGGTCCCCAAAGTCGCTGGACGACCCCCTCCTCCCACCTCCTCAGACCCGTCCAGCCCCCCCCACCCCTGTCCAGCTGCTGGGGAGCGGGGCAGAGGGAGCGCGATGCCCCCGATCCACCGTCCACCCCGGCTGGAGAGGGAGCCGGGAGGGGTGTCCACTCTGCCCACCCCGTCTCATCGCACCTCTCCAAGCCCGCCGGAGAAGGGTCGAGAAGGACAGCGCCCCTGTCCTGTCCCGCGGCGTCCCCTGAGCCCCCCTCCCAGACCCCCCGGCGCCGGCGGTCCCCCTTAAGCTGCCCCCTTTACCTGCAGTCCAGGCCCCCGCCGCGCCCGCACCGGTGCCCGCCCCCTCGGGGCGCGGGGACGGGTTATCAAGCCCGGGCGCCTACCTGACGGCTCCGCCATCCAACCAGCGCGCGCGGAGTCCCGAGCGAGCCAATGGCAAGGCGAGGGGGGCGGGGCTTCGGAGGGCTGGACCCGGCGCGCGGGCGGAGCGCTGGGGCGTTTGCCCAGCCCGCCCGCCCTGCAGAGCAGCCGGCTAAGGACCGGCTCCCTGAGCTCCCGGGTGCCTTAGGTCCAGAGGGAAGGTTTGGTGGCCGGCTCGGCTCGTGGTATCGGGGTGATTAACAGGACCCCAGGCATTGCACTTTTTTTTTTTTTTTTTTTTTTGCTTTTTGGGTCACACCCAGCGGTGCTCAAGGGTTATTCCTGTCTCATGCACTCAGGAATTACTCCTGGTGGTGCTCAGGGGACCCTATGGGATGCTGGGAATCGAACCCGGGTTGGCCACGTGCAAGGCAAATGCCCTACCCGCTGTGCTATCTCTCCAGCCCCTGTTTTTTGCTTTTTGGGTTACACCCGCAATGCTCAGGGGTTATTCCTGTCTCATGCACTCAGGAGTTACTCCTGGCGGTGCTCGGGGGACTATATGGGATGCTGGGAATCGAACCCGGGTTGGCCACGTGCAAGGCAAATGCCCTACCCACTGTGCTATCTCTCCAGCCCCTGTTTTTTGCTTTTTGGGTCACGTCCGCAATGCACAGGGGTTCCTCCTGGCTCTGCACTCAGGAATTACTCCTGGCGGTGCTCGGGGGACCCTATGGGATGCTGGGAATCGAACCCGGGTCGGCCGCGTGCAAGGCAAACGCCCTACCTGCTGTGCTATTGCTCCAGCCCCAGGCTTTGCACTTCCTATGCCACTTTTCTGAACTGCCGCACCAAAATTCCCTCCTTGCATGTTCAACCTTGTGCATTTCCACCGGGAAGAATGGACCGTTGGCGGGGCTGGAGCAATAGCACAGCGGGTAGGGCGTTTGCCTTGCACGCGGCCGACCCGGGTTCGATTCCCAGCATCCCATGTGGTCCCCCGAGCACCGCCAGGAGGAATTCCTGAGTGCATGAACCAGGAGTAACTCCTGTGCATCGCCGGGTGTGACCCCCAAAAAAGCAAAAATAAATAAATAAAAAGAAAATAAATTAAAAAAAAAAAGAATGGACCGCTGGCGGGCTGGAGAGATGGCAGAGCGGCCACGGAGCTTACCTTGCAGGCTGCTCACCTTGGTCCGATGCCATCCGGTCCATGGATCCTGTCGGGACTCATCTCTGAGCACAGACCCAGCAATATACCCTGAGCGCCGCTGGGCGTGGCTAAGGGGGGGAAAAAAAATAAAAGAGGAATGTTGTCTATTTTTGTTTTAACTTGACGTTCATTTCCACTATCTGAAATCAGAAGATTCTCTAGAGTCCAGAGCGATAGTACAGCGGGCAGGGCGTTTACCTAGCACGCGGCTGACCCGGGTTCGATCTTCAGCATCCCATTAGGGTACTCCCAAGCATCATCAGAAATAATTCCTGCGGTTACCCCTTGAGCATCAGGGTTACCACAGATATGCCCTAAAAAAAACACACACACACGCACACACACAAACAAAAAAAAAAACCAAGCAGTCAAAAATAATAAAAAAATACATTGAGGGGGGCTGGAGAGATAGCACAGCGGGGAGGGCGTTTGCCTTGCACGCGGCCGACCCGGGTTCGATTCCCAGCATCCCATATGGTCCCCTGAGCACCGCCAGGAGTAACTCCTGAGTGCAGAGCCAGAAGTAACCCCTGTGCATAGCCAGGTGTGACCCCAAAAAGCAAAAAAAAAATTCATTGAGGGATCAGATGATAGCACAGTGGGGAGGGCACTTACCCTGCACGTGGCTGACCTAGGTTCGATCCCTGGCACCCCAGAAGGTCCCCTGATCTCCACTAGGAGTAATTCCTGAATGCAGACCCAAGAGTTACCCCTGAGTAACTTTTTTAGGTGCTGGGTGTGCTCCCCCAAAAACTGAAGAAGATTGCATTTTTGGTTTGGGGGGGGTAACATCCTTAATGCTCCCCTAGCACTGTGCTCTGGGGTCACTCAGCGGTGCTCAGGGGAGCCACTCACCTGGAGGCCTAAGCAGGTCTTGGCATGCCAAGCATGTACTCAGCCTGTATGTTCTCTCTCCGGGCTTGAACTTTCTTGTTTGTTTGTTTTTGACCACACCCGTCTGTGCTCAGGGGCTGACTCCTGGCTCTGTGCTCTGAGTCCTGGTGGGACTCGGAGGGACCGCCCCTCCGCCCGGGATGCCGGGGATCAAACCCAGGTCGGCTGCATGTGAGCCAATTTCCTTCATCCATATTTCATGTCTCTGACCCCACATGTATTTATTTTTCTATTTCAGGGCTGGTCATGTAATGAGATTTAAAGACGACCGCTGGACTAGAGCCGTTACCGACTGGATTCCACGGGATGTCAAAAGACCGCGTGGCCGCCCACCTACCAGATGGTCAGACTTCTTCATCAAGATCATGAACCATCGGTTTGAGGCTCTTCATGTTCCCGGAGCGAACAGATGCCATTGGGCTACACTAGCACGCGACAGGGACAAATGGAGACGTTACTGGCGCCCGCTCGAGCAAATCGACGACTAACGGGAAGTTAAGTGATTAAGTGATTTCAGGGTGCTGGGGTGCACCCCTGGATCTTCCACCTCCCAGGAATATATTCTGCCTCTGACCCAGCCGGAAAGAGTTTTGTCTTTTCCTCCCGGGAAACCACCGGGAGGGAATATTCCCTCCACTCTTTTCCTCTGTTCTCCCGGCCCCTGATCCAGGCTTTTCCTTCCCAGCTTTTTCCCACGGCTTCCGCACACATATGGTTGTCCAGACCCTTCTGCTGTGGACCTTAAGCCAAGCACAGGGGGGCAGGTCTAGAAGAGGGGGTGAGTGTGGTCTGGAGAGAGGAGTTAAGGTAGCCCGGCCCAGTTTGAGTCCTCGTACCACAGATGGTTCCTGAGCACAGAGCCAGGAGTAAGCCCTGAGTATCTATTTCCTCTAGATGTGGCCCCGACCAATCCCAAAATACCAACCAACAGATAGGGGGTCGTGTGGGGCAGGGGCTGTGTGCACGTGAGGCCTTGGGCAGGACCCAGATGTTCTGTCTTCCCTGGAAGCTCATCAATTCTCTGTCCCTGGGTGCTGGAGGCCGGTTGCCACACTGGGGTGTCTTTGCCAAATGCCTCTGTCTTTGCTCTTCTATTTTGGGGGGGAGCCAGTAGTTGGTTGTATCATCAGCAGGAGAGACAGCCCAGGGGATAGGGGCTTGCCGTATTTGTATGCATTGATTTTTTTGTACATATAATTTTATCGAATCACAGCAAGATACACAGTTATGAAGTTATTCAGACTATAACGTTCTGACACTGTCTCCTCATCAGTGTCCATTTTCCACCTGTGCGTGTGATTCTTCTGTTTTTTTTCTTGGGGGGGGTCACACCCGGCAATGCACAGGGGCCACTCTTGGCTTTACACTCAGGAATTACTCCTGGCGGTGCTCAGGGGACCCTATGGGATGCTGGGAATCGAACCCGGGTCGACCGCGTGCAAGGCAAACGCCCTGCCCGCTGTGCTATCTCTCCAGCCCCAAGAATTTATTTTTTTTTATTTTTATTTTTTTGGCTTTTTGGGTCACACCTGGCGATGCACAGGGGTTACTCCTGGCTCTGCACTCAGGAGTTACTCCTGGGGGTGCTCAGGGGGACCCTATGGGATGCTGGGAATCGAACCCGGGTCGGCCGCATGCAAGGCAAACGCCCTACCCGCTGTGCTACCGCTCCAGCCCCTGTGTGTGGATTCTTAACAGCCTTGGCTTGTTTGCCTGTTTTGTTTGTTTGTTTGGGGGATTCACACCTGGTGGTGTTCGGGGGTCACTCCTGGTGGGGCTTGGGGACCCCCTGGGGGAGTGCCAGGAACTGAACATGGGTCAGCTGAGTGCCAGGCAAGTTCCTTTCCTGCTGTACCATCTCTCCAGCCCCTCCTAACAGCATACGGGGGAGAGAGTGAACCCCTGCTCCGTGCCTCCTGTCCCAAGATGAAGCTTGAGGGAAGAGAGCAGGGGGGAGGGGTGGGGAGGGCAACTTCTGGGCACTGAGAGGGCACGTGAAGCCCTTGGGAGCTACTTTCAGCCCTTCATGCCAGTTCGAGAGGCTCCGGCCAATCTCCGGCAGCACCGCACCTCCTTCTGGAATGTGCCATGCAGGGGCCCCAGAAAAGCAGACCTGTTCTTCTCTCTTTCCACCCTCCCGACCTGTGGGGTTGAGAGCAGGACATCCTGGGCTGGGGGCTGTGACGAGTGACAAAACCTACCCCGTCCTGGACCCAAAAGAGAGGACAGTGGGGGAGGGCGTTTGCCTTGCACGCGGACAATCTAGTTCTATCTCCAGCATCACACAGGGTGCCCTGAGCCCCGCCAGGAGTGATCCCTGAGCACAGAACCAGGAGTAACCTCTGAGCACCGCTGGGCGTGACCCCAAAAGGTTTTGGTTTCAACACCAAAAACTCACCCTCTGTTTTCACCCCGAGACACCTCCTCCACCCTCCCTCCCCAGGTTCCACATGCTGTTACTTGTACCAGCAGAGAATGTTCTAGAATATCTTCCTGCTTCTTCTAGAAATCCTGAACCACACTCTTTAAGCCCACACCCTGACCCCAGCATTCTTTCTTCAAGCTAGAATGATTTACAACCGGCACCAGGCAGGAGTTTGAGTTGGACCGGCACATTCACCTCTGTCTCTGTTTCTGTCTCTCTGTCTCTGTCTCTCTGTCTCTCTCTGTCTCTCTGTCTCTGTCTCTGTCTCTGTCTCTCTCTCTCAGAGGGAGGCATGTCTTGTGGTGCTAGCAGAACCATGAACCCCAGGCTCTTCCATGAAAACTCACACTTAGGTTAAAAAGTCGTCTTTGGGGGCTGGAGTGATAGCACAGCGGGGAGGGCGTTTGCCTTGCACGCAGCCGATCCGGGTTCGATTCCCAGCATCCCATAGGGTCCCCTGAGCACCGCCACG